TTCCAAGATTGAACATACGGTCTCGTCTCCTTCATTTCATCCTTGGACACATGCTTAACTCGTCATTTCTTTTTCGGGTTGCAATGGGGAGTCTGACTTGGGATCTCACTCAGTGGTCCCCTCTGCGCCTGTTCAATTCATGTCCGTATTTGTTGGGCTATGGGTTGTTGGTTGGTCTGTTGCTAGAGTTCCTTGCAGGTAATTCTTTCTGGTTGCTCATATGATCTTTATTATGGAGCGAAGGCAGTTGTTGATAGAAGTCCACATCAGCTCGTTTGAAAATGCCTTCCGTATAGCGCCAAGGTTTAGATCAATACAGAAGAACTGACTTGACATTGGTTCTGAAAATCCGAATCTTATCCTTAATACTGAGTAAAGTAGATTTCCAGATGGATTTCAGAGTGATGAAAGTCTTTCTTGCCTTACCGATCCATGTTTTGACATCTACATCCTTGCCGCCTGCAGTTAAAACGGTGATGCCTAGATAAAGAATTATCATTAGCAACATTAATGTTACAAATGATATAAACAAGGTTGGTAGAACACAGTCGAAAACATGTATGCATGATAATGTGCCTGAATGCAACACTGAATTGATTATGAAATAAATTAAGAAAAATAATAAGAAATTTAAAAGCTTATAGGTTTCACCACACTCAAAGTAACTTCTTTTGTACCCAGAGTTCCGGCTGTTTCAAGAGAATCACAATGGCTTTTAATGTTTGAAGTATTCGGTATCTAAAGGATTTTAACAACAGGCAGTAGAAAAATAGTTCTTCACTTCTGGTTTCGTGGCCTGTTTTAACCAGGTTATATAATATCGAACAAAATATTTGTTTAACCACAGTGGTAGTTGTTGCCGACCATGAAAAATTAAGTTCCATGAGTGACTGTCAGCGTAACTGGCTCTCCATTTAATCTGATTTTGCGACAACAGTAGCAAATTTATGCGGCAGAAATTAAACACTGTCTACATCAAAAGCTTGCAGTCAGTAGTGGCATCAACTCAACGAGGAACTGATGTTCGAATCCGTGTACTGAATGGGCTGGTGGTCGCACTTATTAATAAGTCTTAAGAGTACAATTTAAATGAAATGAGATTTGAATATGCTATCTACACTTTTACTCTTTTGATATTCACTGTGGAACATAGGGCTTCAAACCTCAGCTCTGAAGTTTCACTAGCAGCTCTTTTCACTTTTGACAAGATGAAGTTATTAGCCGCGCTTACCGCCGGCCAAACGAGGCATTAGAATGAATCAGCCAGGGATCAAACTCCAGGCCACGTTCCTAGCTGGCGAGTATTCTGATATCTGGTTTATTAAACCACAGATCCAGTGGTTAGATAAGTCAGTGTTACTCCTAAAATATTTATATTTGTCACTAAATAATATTCCTTGACATTTATTACCATCATATAACCTTGAATATTGCATCCGTAATAACGTTTTTGTTAGTCTCGTCTATGTACTACAAATATCCGACCTAGTTTATCCTTGGGTTGTAGTGGGAAGTCGTGACCACTAGGGTGCAGCTGGTTGGGTGTGAGGACAAACACTCGCCGAAGATATTGGCTAGCGGTTGCGCTATGTCCTGAATTGGCAGAGGTTAGAATTCATGGGCCATTGGATCGGGTCCCAGTGGCTTAATGGTCTACAAGCTGGCTCGCCTTGTAACCAGAAGGTCCTGCGTTCTTACCCTTGCCGGTGGGTGAGCACTGCTGAAGAGTCCCAAACTAGGACGAAATAGTTGCCCAGTACTCCCTGCAGGTTTTCTAATGGTTCTCTAACCAATATCAGCTCATGATTAAATCCTGTAACCAATCAACTAAATCCCTAAAAACCAATACTTGAATATTTTATTTTTGTTTACCATGTTAAGTCACCATTTTCTTCTTCATTTTTTCATTACCCTTAATAAATACCAAATGTTTTTGTTTCCCGAGTGTAACTGAAGGACATTGATTTGTGATTGTGAGCCATCTTTTAATTAATGACGTGCTAAAAGAAGAAACAAGTCAAATAAGACGAATAATTGGACAAACTGAGAAGGCGCGATTTGAATAAAATCTAGTGGAATAAAGTATTGAGTAAACAATCAAAAATGTATAAGGTAGCTCTTATGTGTTTATGTTTACACGTTTGTGTAGATGTGCGTGCGTCTGTGTATGTGTCTCTGTGTGTGTGTGTCCGACAGAAACAGAAATACACAATGAAGGGAGAAAAGATGAGAAACACATCAATAAATCTAATGAAAGAGTTTAAAAAAAGAATAAAGAAGACCCAGAGAAGAAACATTTAAATAATCTAATGTTTTAGAAAAAAATTGGGGAGAAGAAATTTTTGTTGATTCTTTTGTTACTTAGTTTTTGTCAGTTAAATTAAGGTTAATGTCGTAATTTGATTACTGGCTTTGAATAAATGGAGAAGATTTGCAGCTTAGAGGTGAATGATTTTGATTTGGATGTGTTCTCTTAGCTGAGTTGATTTAATTGTGAACCTTTCGTTGTCTTTCTAGACAATTTATTCAGCGCACGCTTTAATATAACGTGAACTTGCTTTGATTGGACACTAGTCAGTAACTAGTGTGATGTGTCTAGCTAGTCCTTTGTTTGGTGCAGACTGAATTCTATCAGTCAGGTTTGTAATATGGCCACCATTCTAAGTAGCCCGCCATTACGGTGCACTTTGAATGATTGCTGTTAGATGGTTGGAGGCAATCGGCCACAGGAAGCATCGCCTGACCTAGATTTCATGCTAGTTTGCACTCGTCAGCATGGGGGATTTGAATCTCAGAAGGGGAATGAGTTCCTTAAAGGTTGAAGATACACCCTGCTGACTGGTGAGTGCCGACTACCACGAAACCTAGATCCAAGGCTTCTTGTAGCTGATTGCCTTCAACTATCTACTTTCATAAAGTGAACTTATTTGAATTTTCCATGAAGAAGATAATTGTATCTCCTGATTTGTTGAATAGTGATATCATGCTTAGAAAGAATAAATAGTCTATCAATTCAAAAAAATGTAAACTTTGTCTTGAACTCGTTTCGCCTAGGGAAGTATTGAAAGATATTTTATACCAGTTTTTTAGTCGTCAGGAATATTCGTGTATGACTGTTTAATGTCTAGCTCAAAACCGTCAGGTTCCCTGGTTCCTTCTTCTATTCACTTCTCAGGTGATTTCACTCAGTGAAATTCAAATGTAAACAATATTTCAACAACCAAATAAAACGTTATACGTTTAATACTAATGCTCCATTAGTATCTGGACAATTATCTCATATTCAAGTTTTCTGATTTCAAAAGAATGGTGACTGAACAAAGAATATTCTTTTCGATAACCTCCTCTTCATCAAGCTCTACAGTTATATATATATATATATATGCATAATGATAGTGAATGGATCAGTGTTATCAACCACATTAATGTTGCTTAAATAATATCAAATCAATAATGATATCATTGGATAGTATCAACATAAAAATACACTGAATATCAGATAAAAATTAGGAGAAATAATAATGCGAGTTCACGAATTTATTTATAGTCTCCACTGAAGGCTGGCCAGGGCAATAGTAGTGGCTGGACTTGCTTTTTTTTGCACACAAAGCACCGATTGTTTCAAGCGAATCGGGATAGCCTCAGCTATTTGGGGTATGCGTTACATGGATATTCTCGGCAATTTGTTTGGTATCCGATAGATGATGATGGAGATATTAGCTTTGTAGCCGGTGTGGACCAGGTGTTCTGATATCGGCCTGCTAATACTTCTGATTACGCCTTCATTTAACCACACTGGTAGATGTTACCAAGCACTGTTTAGGAGTGCGCACTTACGACCTCAACAGTCATCAGGTCCGGTAACTTCAGTCAGGTAACTCATCCGAGGTTGTTAACCATTTAACCACTTGTGACAGAATTCGAAAACTTGTAAATTTTAACCTCCGTTACTTCATGATATAGTTCTATCCCTAACGAATGTCTTCTATGGGTATTCAATAAACCTTGACAGTTTGGATTCCACTGCGCAGGACCTCATAGTACGGCTTGAAGACATACATCCAGTAGCTATCAGTGAGCTGAGGGTTGATACTTAGATTACTATTGTTTTGTTTTCCTACCTAAACTTATTTTGGCTGAATAGTATACGAGCTTGTTTTGTAACCGGAAGGTCCTGGGTTCGAACGTCGATGGGTGCGTACTGCCGTTGATTCCCAAACAGATTAAATCCTCCATACAATCAAATATTTATACATTTTTATGTACATTATCATTACCGGAGAAGCAACGTCTTCTGATCGGTTGTTTTCTTGCCGAAGGTTATTCTGTACTGCATGTGACTGTTTCTCAGAAACTTAAGCCATATATCTGTGAATCGTGTTAACATACGTTAAGTCTGCTATGCTTAGTTGGTGAATTCCTCAAGGTTAAGCTTTGTTATTGTTTTTCCCATGAACCCTATTTGGGACGTGAACATTGACGTAAATTTCTGTCTACAATTTTTTGCTTTCAGTCAGCTGTCACCACACATTTACCTCATGGCAAAACAATACAAGCACTAGACAAAAAATCTCCCCTCCATTATTATCCCCTTAGGTTCCGTGTAGAAAATGGGTTTTCAACAACACGTCTCTATTTCATCCAGTTTCCTGCGGTCGTATTTGGCTAGCTCCACGATTGACGATAAACTCTCATCGCCTCCATGACACCCTCGGAAATACACCCAACTCGTTATATCTCATCCAGGTTACACCCGAGGTCTTCTCCTAGTTTACTAGCTAACCCTGAGCCTGGAAAAAGAACGAAGGTTGTACGTAGGGCTAGCGACCCTATGCTGGAATATCACCCTAACCTCTACAGAAATTTCAACGTACACAGAAAATATACAAAATAAATCTACATCTCTTTCATGCTATACTTTATTTGAACTTCACTGTTCAGAATCGTTGATTGAAGTAAATTATGTACTCCCATTGTTTTCCTTTTTTGATATCGTCTAGCAATTATGAAAATATTCAGCTTCAACAATCTTATTCACCCAGCAATGGTGGCTATTTGCCTCAGTATCGTTATTCTGGTCGTTCAGATGATGAAGAGTATTTGTATCCTCCACCGTTGCCTGATGAACAAATTCCTATTTATTCTGATTTTGGACCTTATTCTGATATAGATGAGCCAGACTGGGATCCCGAATATATTAGCCATCGTCAAAGAGGAGAGTTTGTTCCATGGATAGATGAACAACAGCATAGGTTAGTTTAAGACTACTTTTTACATATTTACAGGTACATGGGTGGTTTTTAAAACCAAAGTTCAGATTTCCTCACAAGTATGGCTACGACTTTCCTTCCATCACTACGTCTTTTCATTTATCACCTCATGTATGGACTACTAAGTCACTGCACTTGGAAAAATATGTAATTAATAGCACCCAGAACTGATGTGAAGTACTCAGAAATGCCTAACTTTAAGATACAAATGAAATCCTGAGTACATAACTGTAGATACAGTCTGAACTTAAACTTTGATGGTTTATACAATCATTCATGTTTATAAAGTATGCACCGTACAAACCAAGGTTTTTCAAATTTTCATAGTGGCAATTTAGACAGGCTTACATTTTTCTTCATATTTATTGAATGATTGCAATCGCACCTATAGTAACCAAAACCAACTCGTTATGATCTAAACTCAAGAAACTGATCTTGCGTTCTACTGTATAACTGCCCAGAACTTCCTTGAGACATGCACATTCAGGAAAAGCTCCAGCAACAGGAAAAAGACGATTATTCTTGGATAATTCCTCCGTACTACTTATCAACAATAACATCAGAAACTCACAACTACCTCAACATTGGTGTTAGGCAGCTTTACAAGCAGCGTAGGTTTCTAAGCACTAATCAAGTACTGTAAAACAAAATTAGTGATCCAGAATTCAACTGTAAGTAGTACCTGAAATTCGGGTAATATATTCCCAGCTGAGTGGAGTCAAAAACTCCATCCAGTGCTCTCCGCAGACAGTAAATCCTAGAATGACCTTGATTCATTCGAACAAAAAAGTCTCACCGTCCAACACATATTTAATGTACATACAGTTATAAGGAGAAGCATTAAAATAAGAGATTAAACAAGGACAAAGATAAATAAAAGGCTAGAAACAATATGTGATATGCGAATGTCAAAATAACGATAAAATATATAATATAATGATGACAATAGCTTTATTATGCACGGTAAGTTTACACAATATGCGCAATTTTCAGCATAGTTTATGGAATGATACAAAATCGAAGACTTACGAGCAAAAACCGACCAACAAACTGGTCGAAGAAGCAGCCGGCGAAGACAGGACTCCAGGTGAACATAGACAAGATGGAGGTTATGAAAATAACCAACCACCAACAACAACGACAACGACAGCAACATCCAGCGCCAATCACCATCAACGGGAGGGATTTGGAAGAGGTTACTTCATTCACTTATCTAGGGAGCATTGTCTCAACTACAGCAGGAACGGACGAGGATGTCAAATCGAGGAGAGTTGGGAAGGCAGGTGAGAAACACATTCATCAACCTGAAACCAATCTGGAAATCTCCGTCACTCAGCCAGTATCAACAACAAAATTCAGTCGGATTTTCAATACAAACGTCAAGTCAGTCAGCTCTTCTATACGGAACGGATCAAAAGCTTGGAGGGTGGGTCACAAATAATATTTCCAACAGCCTGTTGCAGATCTTTATCAACAACTGTCGTCTTCGGTCTATACTGAAGATCAGATGCCCAGGTCAGAAAGAATCACCAACAAGAAACTATGGGCACAAACAAACAAAACAAGAACCAATCGCCAGCCAACAAATATGCAGGAGAAAGTGGAGATGGATGGATTGGACACTCACTCACTGAGGAGGCCGGTTGGTGAGATCGCGCGTGCGTCAGGCCATTGCTCGAGTGGAACCCGAGGGGAAGGGAAGCGGCGAGTGGGACGTCAGTGCAAGGGTGACATGGAGGAGATCGTATAGAGGGGAGTTGAAACAGATTGGACTAAGATGGATGCAGGTGGAAAGTACAGCAGACGGAAGACAGAAGCAAGTGGAGACGTTCAGTTGAAGCCCTATGTTCCACTAGGAACCCAAGGAAACAATAATAATTATTATTATTGCATAATATTTACTCTTTATCCAGGAGTTTCATTTAAAACAGCTATCTCCAGTACATCATATGGTGCGCTGATGTTAGGCCTAAAGAATAAAATAATGCACTTAGGCATTTTTCTTTAATCCCACAGAAATGCTCAACGATAGACTGCAAAGCAATTAAAAATGTGCATGAGTACATTTTCAGGATCATGGATATACCTGACTGATTACAATAACAAGAACTAAAGAAAATAAGATACATTATCTCGGATGAAAATTCAGATAGCTCAGAGATTCAAGCAGGCAAATAATTTCAAGTTAGTTGAAACACCCAAAGAGGTATAGTTATTGTGATTAGATTGTTCAAGACGGACTTTCCAAATAATTTTTCCATCACAGATAGATTCAAGCAGTTTTTCTTGTTCTGGATTGGAAACACCACAATATTCTATGCATGCCTTTGCCCTTATTAAAAGTGTTTATCTTCTATGTATATATCGTTATTCTTTTAAATGGTTGAATAGTTTCCGTTCTACCACTGATTACTGATCCGATCCCTCATTTTTGTCTGACAAGAACAAGCCGTGAATACTGTAGTTATTATGTAGATAGTCCTCACTGGCTATTGGTCACTCATACTATGGGAAATAAATATTTGATTTTATCTACGATATTTTTAATTAGAAATGGCTATATACTCGTGACATTTTTCGCTAAAAATAGACAGATAATTTTTTTGATTAGTTTTCAAAAAGTATTATAAAGTATTTTAATAGTTCCGCCCAAGATATGACAACGTTGATATGGATGATTCTTTTCGCTATCAAATTTGAGTATGAGTACTCATCTTTCACCAAAGTCATTTATTTTTCTCTTGTTCATGATATTGTTTCAATATTTGACTGGCCTTTTTTTGTTTGTTTGTTTGTTTATCTAACACAATAGGTATGGTCAACGTCGTCGAAGAACTCGTTTCTCCCCACAAACCAGTCGATATTCTAGACGAGGTTATTCACGTTCTCCATATTCTCAACCAATATATGGAGTTTCACCCTCGGAAGTTTATTATGATAATAACAAATATCATGCAGAATTTGACACTAGACTTCACAATGACGTTAGTGATATGCCGTAAGTAGATTTTGTTTAAGACTGATGTATTTTAACATTTCTAATACTTTGAATGGTGTCTTATTTGAGGAGAAAAAAAAGTATTTTGAGTTCTTTTTGATGTGCTTGTGTTCACTTAACCGGATGGTTATATGATGAAGCTTTCATTATCTTTCTAGTCAACATCTTCACTGCCAACATCAATATGAAGTGAATTTATGTGAATTCTTCATTAATGATATATTTATACCTACTGACAATCCTTGATATGATTAGTTTTCAATTTGCACTAGCCCTGGATGAAAAACGTCGACCGGGACAGGCTACATTCGGGAGGAACAAGTCATGCATCGATAAAATCGCAACACTACGGATCATCATTGAACAAAGCTTCGAATGACAGTCAGCTCTCTCTCTCTCACCTTCATTGACTTTGAAAAGATCTTTGACAGCGTCGATCGAGAGATGATTTGGGAACTACTTCGCTACTATAGGATGCCGCCAACAATTATACATCCGGTTCGACAGTTGTACGACAATGCTGCATGCCAAAGTATCCACAATGGAGAATTCCCGAAATCCTTCGAAGTGAAGACCGGAGTAAGGCAAGACTGCCTACTATCGCCAATGATCTTCCTGATTGTGATAGACTGCATAATGTGACAGATATCTGGCAGCGAGGAAACAGGCACAAAATGGACTCACACAAAAAACTTGGAGGATCTGGACTTCGCCGATGATATATGTCTGATTTCCCACAAACTAGAAGACATGCAAGCGAAAAGCAACAAGTTGGCAGAAGAAGCTTCCAGAGAAGATAGGACTCCAGGTGAACATAGAGAAAACAGAGGTGATGGGTATTCCTGGCCAATAGCAATAGCAACAACAACAGATATCAATCGGCATAAATGAGAGAAATCTGAGAGAAGTAACCTCCTTTACCTACTTCCCTGCCTGGGAAGCATCGTTGCAACTACAGGCAGACGTAATTGATGAGGATATCAGAGCGAGGATTAGGAAAGCAAGGAAAGCTTTCATTACTCTCAAGTCTGTGCAGAGGTCAACAAAACAGTATCAAGAATAAGATCCAGATTTTCAACTCCATTGTGAGGCCAGTGCTACTTTACGGATCAGAGACTTGACGCCGCGTCATGAAGGGCACTTCGAACAAACTACAGACCTTCACCAACAGCTGTCTTCGCTCAATACCACTCAATATCAGATGGCTGGCCAGAAAAGATCAGCAACAGGGAGGGATTTCTGGGAGCGAACCAACCAACCAGGAACCGATTGTGCAACAAATAAGCAGGAGGAAATGGAGGTGGATTGGGGGCCATAGTCTGAGGAAACCTCCAAGTGACATCACTAGACAAGCCATCACTCGAGTGGAACCCGAAAGAGAAGCGGCGAGTTGGTCGTCAGTGCGAGGGTGATGTGAAGAGAAGATGAAAGCATATGGGAAGACGTGGGGCCAGGTGAAGACATTGACGGAGAATCGCACGCAATGGAGACGTGAGGCTGAAGCTCTATGTTCCTCTAGGAATTAATGGAAATATTAATAATTGTCTTTATTAACTTGTATTTTGATATTTTCTTATATAGTTCATCCTTTATTAGTTATTAGGCTTGGTCTGTAATAGTTGGTCTGTTGATCACAGATTCTTCGGACTATCAGGCTTCTGGAAATTCCCTGGAATTTTCAGTGTTCGCACTGTTTAATGTTTCTACATTTTCTCATTCGAATTAGTATTCATAGTGTTGTCTGCATACATTGGTATGAAAGGATTCATATTGCATCTTTTCAAAGGTGGCTTATATGTTATCGGACTTGGAGTCAAAGTAAACGCCCACTTTGACAAGTATACCGTTTATCACAATTCAGACAATCTATTTTGTGGGTGGTATTGGCTTTTTTTTCTGCTACTGAGCCCAGACACAGTGATCCAGATCATACTTAACGATTAATAAAGAATAAATCGCACTCAGAAACTTCATAATCCAAGTCAATAAAAACGGTCACTTGTAATGCAAATTAATTATGTCATAATCAAGACGGATTTTCAAGTATTGGTTTTGTAGGGATTTCGTTTGATTGGATGGAGGATTTCATCATGAGCTGACATTGCTTAGAGAACCATTAGAAAACCACCTGAGAGTACTGGACAGCTGTTTCATCCTAGTTTGGTGCTCTTCATTAGTACGCACCCAGTGCCAAGGTTCGAACCCAAGACCTACTGGTTACAAGGTGAGCCGTAGACCATTGAGCTACTTGGACCCGATCCAACGGCCAAAGAATTCTAACTTCTGCCAATTCACGACATAGCGCGACTACTTCGTAATGTCTTTTTCGGTGAGTTACTGCTTCATCTTCAGCATGCTGTACTCTACTGGTCCAGTACTCCCAGGTTTTCCAGTGGTTCTCTAACTGATATCAGCTCATGATGGAGTCCTCCATCCAATCAGACAATCAAGATCGTCAGAAAATACCGTTATATCATTCTAGGTGAATTCAAAGAAGGCTTACTTCATATTGAAGTTTGCACTGAAGATGTTGTCCAAAGAGACGATTAAACCTTCGGAATTAATCCACTCGAGTTGGAGAACACACAACCACCATGTGAGCTACACATTTTCTCTATTGCTTAGTTTTTTTGTATTTGGAAGCTGAGGAATGATTCAGCATCTTTCCGAATCTCGTAAATGATTGATAAATGTAACAATACAATTGCCACGTTATTAGTGAGAACTAAAGAAATTGCATACCTGTAGTTCATTTCATCCTATTTAGCTCAAGAAACTCTGAATAACTGGCAAATAGTTTAATTGTCATCTCTTCGTGTAAGCTTGACTGGTTCATTTAAATACTCTTTAAAAAAATGCTTAACTGGTAATTATGGTTAAGTGTACATATCAGTAGGCAGTTATACACAAATTATTGTTATTATTACTATTGCTTAATCCCCTTTACCATTATTTCTACTCACTTCATTTTATCTTTAATTCTCATACTGTCTCTTTTCGTTTATCTCATTTTATTTATCCATGAATGAACATCATCTCATAAACAAATAACCTGGTTCAAATTTATCAAGGGAGAAAAATAATTGTATCATGGTGTTCACTTTATGGTAGAATAAAAAGACGAATAAGCATACATTATATGTGCGTCACGCCATATACTACTGACTAGTTGGTGTGAGCAGTTGGATGACTCTTACACTGATCAGTACTGCTTGTTAACCAGGCTGAAGGAAAATAACCGCCGGGTGACTGTTTTGTTTGTTTGAGGTTGAGCTCATTCACGGTTTGCCTCATCTCAGATAACCGAATTTGGTGAATTGATAAAACGTTAGGTTTGGCAATCGCGAATTTGATACAGTACATTATAAACTGGCCTTCGTCACTTATTGAAATAAGTGTGGGACTCACATACCCGGCGTATAAATTACTATAACTGGCATCAGAATTTGAATGAAACGATTGTTCAGGACTGTCCTTTTTAATTCCTTTATGTTCCCAATGGAACCTAGGGCTTCAAGCTAGAGGCTTGAAGTTTCGGTAGAAGTGGAATTTATTTGTTTTTAGAGGACGGGTTTACTAGCCTCACATCCAACCTTATCCGAAAAGCAAAACAGGATTTCATAAGTCTGAAGTCTTTGTGGAGGTCAACAGCACTCAGAATCAAAAATAAGATCCGGATTTTCAACTCCAATGTGAAGTCAGTCACTGCTACTATACGGATCAGAGACTTGCACTGTGCGTCATAAAGAGCACCTCAAACAAACTACAGACCTTCATTAACAGCTGTCTTCGCTCAATGCTCAAGATCAGATGGCCGGCCAGAAAAGATCAGCAACAGGGATCTCTGGCAGTGAGCGAACCAAACCAGCGGAAACCGATTGTGCAAGAAATAGGCAGGAAGAAATGGAGATGGATTGACTGGCCATACTCTGAGGAAATCATCAAGTGACATCACATGCCTGGCTATCTTTCGAGTGGAACCCGAAAGGGAAGCGGAGAGTTGGTTGTCAGGGCGAAGGTGTCATGGTGGAGGAGGTCATGTGAAGAGGAGATAAAAGCATGTGGGAAGACGTGGAGCGGGAAACAACAAGGTTTGACCTTGATAAGAAAAAAAAAACACTTCTCTTTCTTTTGGGAGGGGGGGCCCCGGGTTTGCCCGGCATTTTTTTTTTCCCCTTTTTTTTTTTTTAAAAAAAATTTTCAACATGCTCTACCACTTCACTTCCTATTTCTTAACTAGGAGTCAGTGTAGTCCAGTCCTGTAACCCCATTATCTTACATTTGGCGGGAGCGAATCGCATGCCAAACATTCATAGATTGCAGCTCAATATGTTCAGAAGACTCTGCTGTATTTTGTCAGCATCCTCGCCTAGAAGGACTATATTGTCTGCATATTCTAATTCAACAAGATTGTTCCCTGGTAGCAAGTCAATCCCTGAGTCTCTGAATTGAGTTAGGGGTGAGTCCATTAGTACATCTATGATGAAGTTGAATGGACTTAACTCTAACTCACTTCAGTGACTCAGGGATTGACTTGATACCAGCTACCAATCCGAATACTCTTATTACTATGGTTCTGAACAGTAAACAATGTTTCCCAATCTATACAAAATATTTTTTCAGAAAGTCAATATACTACTGATTTTATGAAACAGAAAGCATATTGTACTCTAAAGTGGTATGACCATTTGAACTTTATTTTTCTAAATTTTATATCTCAATATATATATATATATATATATATATATATGTATATTATTGTTTGCCTAATCTATCTTCAACGACCTATTTAACGGCTTCTTTCTTTTCTCCTTTCTCTCTTAGTTGACCTTGAAATGTTAAAATTATTTTAAAATAAACGTCTGTAATTTATGTTTACTTTTTATTTCTAAAAAGAATTTTCTTTTTTTTCGTTTTGCTCAGTTCAAATTATGGTTGTTCCTGTGAATCAGATTATGAAGTTGACACAAAGATTATTTGGTATGTAAATACTTTTATTTCTCTATTAGTATTATTATTATTATTTATCATTATTAACGTTATCTGTACATGCGTTTGTTTATTTTCTTTTTTTTTTCTTTTTCACATCAAAAAAGCTGTTCATTTAAATTATCTTCATACATTAGACGTTTGCCAATCATTTTCCATCCATTTTTATTGGTCCATAGATTAAGTTAATTGACTAATAATTAGGGGACATCATATACGCTATTTGCAATGTAACGCATTTCGAGGAGGTGATGTTTCACCGCCTCAGTCTCCTGTAGAAACCGAAATGATTCAGGACACCATATGTAATTGGCTTGATGTCATAAATAGTCATCAATAAAGCAAGCATAATTACGTAATATGATATGCTACTGACTGAATGAAATGATTAGTGCTTACTAGCCAGATTGAAGTAATCTAGACATTAGAATTCTGTTTCACTTGTTTTCGGGCCGATTTTATCAGTGGTTTGTCCGGTTTCATTCACCTTAGAGAGCTGGACCAGTTCAGACCACCAGACCTTTGACTAGCTGCTTGTGCGGACTGGTAATACCCGATGATCTTGGCCCTGAATGGGGGGGGGGAGCGACTGTTCGGTGTTTATATTACTTCGATGATATGGTCAGCAACCAACACTGGTTGATTTGATTGCTTTACAACTATTTGCCTCAGTCTATTACTAGTACAGGCGGAATTGACGAGGATATCAAAGCGATGAGGATCGGGAAATCAAGACAAGCTTTCACTACTCTCAAGTCTGTGTGGAGGTCAACAGCTCTCCTCAGCATCGAAAATAACATCCGGATTTTCAACTCCATTGTGAAGTCAGTCCTACTATATGGACCACAGATTTGTCACCGCGTCACGAAGGCCACTTCGAACAAACTACAGACATTCATCAACAGCTGTCTTTGCTCAATACCACTCAATATCATATGGCCGGTCAGAAAAGATCAGCAACAGGGAGGGATTTCTGGGAGCGAACCAACCAGGAAACGATTGTGCAACAAATAAGCAGGAAGAAATGGAGGTGGATTGGGGACCATACTCTGAGGAAACAAACCATCAAGTGACATCACTAGACAAGCCCTCGAGTGGAACCTGATTGGGAAGTGGCGAGTTGGTCGTCAATGTGAGGATGACATGGAGGAGGTCAGGTGAAGAGGAGGTGAAAGCATGCGGGCAGACCTGGAGCCAGGTGAAAACGTTGGTGGATAACGGAACGCAATGGAGACGTGCAGCTGAAGCGCTATGCTCCTCTAGGAATTAAAGGAAATAATAATAATTACTCGTACAAAGTTTTGCACAACATGAAAGCATAGTCATCCTAAACAACATTCTCTCCTTATAAGCTAATACTGTTCAATGATAATAATCACATTGTTTTTTACACCAACAGAATAATTCACTTACACAGGTTTTCACAAATGGTGTATTTCAGAAAATAAAGTTCACTACTTAGGTGATATTAGTTGAGGAACCAGTATCAACCGAGAGCCACTGTGAATAGCTGTTTTACAGGCTGTGTAAACTCCTGAAAAATGTTGGAACTTTGGATCTTGACAATTGACAAATTATGCATAAGGTAATCATCTCTGTGGGCTTCTGAGGATGACATGGAAATATTGTGAGATAACGAAATGAGAACTTATAGTCAGCCATCTAAAGAGGTGTGGTGCTATCATTGACGGGGACAGCTGACTAAGTTACAGAAAGTTATCTAAATTACAATCCCTTGAGAGGTTTTCGGTATATATATGTCATGAGGAATTTTAAAGAAGTCATTATTTGTGCGTCACCAAAGTCCAAATTCCTCCTAATGATTGTGACTGGTAGTTTTTGCTGGCTGTGAGGCATCTTCATTACCTTTGTCTCCTTTATGTTTACTTGAAATTCTGTGTTCTCTGCTTCTGCCTGTAGATCTTTGACTTTGTGTGGCATTAAACATAAATACTCCGCGAAGTCCACATCTTCTAAAGTCTTCTTGTCGACCGAACGTATTCTTGTCTTCTCTCTCTCTCCATGATCTCCTACATAATTCAGCTCACCGTAAACAGGAATATGATACACTACTAATCAATTTCCACTGCTAATCATTCACGTCAACTGACTGTTCTTTTCCAGACACACAGAAGTGATATAGTCGTCTTCCAGCTATATCGATTATAGTCAGACCAGTGAGCCGAATTAGTTCAAAACCTTGAAATTCTAGTCTCTTACTTGAGCATGCTGATGGAGAATAGAAGGTAGTCGCTCTGTACGATACTGCAGGCGATATCAGGAAAAGTAGTACAAAAGTGATTTCGTTATTATTGATTAGTTTATTATAATAAACAGGATGCCTTATATAGAAGCATTTCAATCCGCATTGAACAATCACTTGTAGATTAGTGCAGCTATAATGAATAAATCAACGTTACTGTATTTAGACTGCTTTGCATAGATTCAGGGTATAACCACAGAAAAGGTATATCTTCCAATCTTTTCTCCCGAAAAGAAATTTCAGCAAACAGTAGAATTCATCGTCTTGCTGAATAAAGTATGAAAAACACCCTTATCTCTTTTTTTCTGTTTGATGACATCGGTATTATTGTCAAGATAGAGGATAACCGCTAAATTTAAATCACCTCACAATGAGAAATAAACAGGAAGCTTGTCTTTAAAGTTGACAGTATCATGTAATTTGGTATTGAATTTGGTTTGTTCTACACTTTTTATTTCTGTTATCTATTTGTTACTGCACGACCCTGAATTATTTTGCTAGTGTCGTGTTCAAACTTTTTTTGCTGTATTTTATATTCTACTCTAGCTTTGATCAAACACAAAGTTACACTCCGATAGGTATAAATTATCAACTAGAAGCTTCGAGTCCTAGTGTGTGTAAACCTTCATTAGCCTTAAGGTGAGTTTATCTTGCATATCTATGTGTTGTTATTCTTTTCATTGTTTTACATTTAATTCATGTATAAATTTATAGTAATTTTATGAGTGTATGACTCAGAGTTGGTTCTAGCGTTGTAAACCATTCATACTTTACTAGCCTTCGTCTTATATTTCCCTTATTATCTTTCAGTAGTCAGGCTGTATTATTTCTATTCAGGTTTTCATTTGCCGGGATTTGATTGTTTGCAGGATTTCCTCATGAGCTGACGTCAGTTAGAGAACCATTAAAAAAGGATGTAATACTGGATAGCTGCTTCGTCCTTCTTTGAGACTCTTCAGTAGCACGCACTCGCTGGGGTATGAATCCAGGACCTTATGGTTACAAGGCGAGCGCATAGCCCATTACGATACTTGAACCCGATCCAATGATCCACGATTTTCAACTTCTGCAAATTCACAATAATGTGTGACTGGCACTAGCTAATTTCATCGCTGGCGAGTATTAGTCTTCACACCCAACCTGCTGTTCGTTTCTCTGTCTCTACCTTATACCTCATTTGTAGCATGACGTATTGTAACTTGGATCAGCAGGCATTACACGTGGTTGTCAGTGATAGTCGTCTAGTGATTAAATACTTCATTGTAAGGTCTTAGAATGTTTGGATATATTTCCATTGGACACTAGTAACTAGTGTGACGTGTCTACTCCTTTCTTTGGTGCAGACTCAATTCCATCAGTCAGATTTGCAATGTGGTCACCATTCTAAGTAGCTCGCCATAACGGTGCACATTGATTTGATGAAATTAGATAGTTGGAGGCAATCGGCCACAGAAAGCCTTGCCTGACCTAGGTTTCGTGCTAGTTGGCACTCACCAATCAGCAAGGTGTATATGCAACCTTGAAGGAACTCACGTCCCTTTGGAGATTCGAACCCGCATCACCCAGTGCTGTAGTCAGAAACGTCACCACTGAGCTATTCGGACTCGCGATTTACTTCTTGTAGGACTGTAGTGCGTATTTTCATTGGACACTAGTAACTAGCGTGACATGTCGAGTCCTTGAAAGGCTCCCTGCCGATTACCTCCAATTTGTTTGGATATATATGCCACTGATATTGTATCGAGTCACGTGAAATATTCTCTCTGCATGGTAAAAATATATGTATGCAGACATTTAGTAATTATCCAAACAGAATAAATCCAATTGTCTGTAATCCTCAAATTTTACAACACAATAATCTAGAAGACCTTGATTTTATATATATATATATATATATATATATATATGCATGCCATTTCCTTGCATCTATATAAAGTACGATACGATGTTATTATTTTATTATTATCGCCTTGGATTCCGAGTGAAACAGCACTGCAGCAGCACATCTCCATTTTGTGCAGTTCTCTGCAGTCCTCTTCAGCTGGTCCCACGACTACTCGTAGTCTCTCATCTCCTACTCAAACGATCTCCTCTATGTCACTGTTGGACCAACGCACCACTTGTCGTTTCCCCTATTTGGATTTCACTGTAGGTTCTGCCACGTGATGTCACCCAATATTCTTCTCAGACTGTGTTCAATACTTGTCTATTTTCCTTTGGGAAATTTGTTGAGCAAAAGGTTCTTGATTAGTTCGTTCCCGGAATTTCTTTTTAGCCGTTTGACCTTCAGTATCGAGCGAAGGCGTCTGGAGATAAAATTCTGTAGTGATATACGTGACAATATATATGTTCAATGAAGCACCATTCAACGGAGAAAATTTCTTCTTGATGATACCATTATTTAGAACAACACATATAAGCGAACAATATTGTTTTCAATTAGATCTTATCAGGCTTAACTCTAATATATATAAGTTTACAAATAAAAATTCAAATATAAACCAATCATGGTGTTTTGTCTATAGGATAATACGATGGTGAATATAAATTGTGCAATTAGTCATAATAGTAGTAATGATAATATTAATAATAGTAATAATAATAATAATGGTCTTATCAATAATAAGGATGAAAAGGTGTGGCAATCTGTGATAACCCGAATAATGAAAAACAGTATGATTAAACAAACAATTGTTCAGGTGAAAGTAGTCGATAAAGGCTAGTAAAAACAAATGAACCGATTACGTAATGTTAGATTGTAAGGGAAGGAAATGAAACACGTTTATAATGAAGATAAGATTAAGGGATGATAAGAAAGGGATTGCAAATATAAATAAGGGGTGGTGTAGAAGTCTTTAGTTGGTTATGTCTTATTCGGCCACGGGAGGAATAATGGCTGCACGAACTTCTTTTGAATGCATGGTTTAGGTTTAATAGTTCGAATGCCTATCGCCTCAGCTGTGTGCAGTAGACGAATTCGAAGTATATTAGAAGGATTCCGTGGGATGCGATGAATTACTTTGAAGGCTCTCGTTTTCTCGCCTACACAACCACTGTCAATTAAATGTGACATAATTGAGCTACAGATCATTTTTGTCTGTCCTCTGCCAAACCACGAGGGCAGATATTCACTAAAACATTGGCTAAGCTGTCCAGTGGTGCTCCCAACATAACTGTCATCGCAGGTGCAGTTGAATATTTAATATATTGATACCATTATTATTTTACCAGGCAGCCTCTTGTAAATTAATGCTTTAATTAGGTGATTCGTCTGTCTTAAGCGATTGACACGCTTTCATCTAAGTTATCTTGCCCTGCGACATTCACAGACAGAGAGAGTTTTGTGGTTGTCTTTACAATACAACAGAATTATTTCTTTACTTGAGTACTAAGGGATTCAGAGATGTCTTCTCTGTCAATATTCACCAAAACGAAACATAATTTGAAAAATTTCACTTAGTCAGTGGAATCTCAGCAAGAAAGATTAATAAAGGAAATAATAATAATATTTGTTTGTTTGTTCTACGTGCTCAAATATCATTTATATCTGGATGAAGTATTTAACTGTACTATAACAAGATAAAGTTATCTTGATGGAGAGCTAATATCAATAAACTATGTGTCATGCAAAAATATCTATTTGATTAGCTAAAATAATCACTGTTGTCTCACTCATAATATTTTATACGACTGTTTGATAACAAATTTCTTCATCATGATGTCTACGCTGCACCTCATTTATGTTTTACTCTAGACTTACAAACTCTGAATCTCCCTCTAACTAAATCTTCCATCTGGTATTAGTTTCGGTACAGACTAAAATAGATTAATATACATATATATCAGTGATTATATATGTGTATACAGATATATTTAGGCTCATGTCATTATTATTGCTTATGAGTTAAGACGGAACTAACTAATCTTAGCATGACATTTTATGTTATCTCTTTCTGTGTAGTCATTTCTTTCTTTATTTATTTATCCTGATCGAGTAGTAGATAAGCATTGTTTATAGATACATTTATAAGTTGAAAAAGGATATATATATATATATATATATATATATGTATAAGCTCGCAGACTATAAGATTTCTCTTAGCCTACTTACCACTTTATATCTCTTCGCCTTAGAACAATGAGAGTGAGGCTGAGTATTGTGTTACTTATATACACCAGAAGCATGCTGATTTTCTAGATTGTTTATCATTCTTGTCAATTCTTTGTTTTGTTTGTGTTTTATTTTTTTTAATTTCAACGTTAAGCTGAATAACTCCTATTGATGTTATAGACTGTCACTTACTTCCTAATTCCTTTCTATGTTGTTGTTGTTGTTTTCTCTCTCAGCCGATCAAGCTCGCCAACTCGTACGTACAGTCCGAATGTGTGTCTTAAAGTTATTAGGTAAGTAAGTTTATTTCTAGACTAACAATGGTATCCTACAATTTATTCAATAAAAAATTCGACATAAGTTATAACTTGAACAAAAAACACCCAGTATATTTGAATAGGCTGATCACATTCAGGATATATATATATATATATATATATAGACATTATTGTAAAATATGGAGAAGTATTGAGCAGTTTATGGTTGTGGAAGCATAGTTACTACTTTATATTCATACGTCTGGTACTGCACAGTGAGTTTCCCTTAACTATTGTCATGTGTATGTTTAGTAAACTGAAAAGCTGATGCATTGAAAGGCAATATAATTCAATTTCAAGTATTGATTTTTTTGGTAAGGATTTAATTGATTGGTTACAGGATTTCATCATGAGTTGACATCGGTTAGAGAACCAATGTAGGACGAAACAGCTGACTGTCCAGGACTCCCTGCAGGTTTTCCACTAGGTTCTCTAACCGATGTCAACTCATGATGAAATCCTGTAACCATAAGTCGATTTATTAGGAATTATAATTCTTTTTTTCAGTGTTATAACCTTCCATTATGGGTAAATTTTGTTTTGATAAAGTCTCACAGTGTTATACAGTAATGTTCACTGATGACCAGGTTTCGAGCACAATTTATTGCCTCTCATAATCATATCAAGGTAATCACACGACTTCTTAAATCCATTTATATAGTTCCATTGTTTTTCTCTTGATTTTCACTTGATTTGATTGGTAATAGTATTCTCCATATTTCAGGTATGAGTGACGAGTCATTCCTTGTTCATCGAGTCTACACCCACCACATGCAATAGGAATGATTCATCACTCATACCCGAAATATGGAGAATACTATTACCAATCAAATCAAGTGAAAATCAAGAGAAAAACAATGGAACTATATAAATGAATTTAGGAAGTCGTGTGATTACCTTGATATGATTATGAGCAATAAATGGTGCTCGAAACGTCATCAGTAAACATTACTGTATAACACTGTAAGACTTTATCAAAACAAAATTTACCCATAGTGGAATTACACTCTACCACAGTGTACAAGTTTTATTCTTATATCAGTGTTATAACCTGTTAACTTCTAGCCTTTCAGTTCTTGTTGTTAGCATTATTTTCATGTCATAACTGATTAATACGTTTTGCTTCTGTAATTAGCTGAAACAGTCTACTATATCTCGTTAATAAAAGGTACTTTGCTACTTAGATACCTTTTACACTTCACAGGATTCATTCTTTCTTGACTGTTGAAGTCATTCATACCCTTTAGTTTTACTTTCTCTCACCTGACATACTCTAAGACAAAAATGTACACTAAGTTGGAGAATTATACGTAGATTATCTTCATTCTAAGAGCCGTTATTGCATTTTTCATTGCCTATAGTACACATGTAGCATAACTTGTTTATATATACTAAGAAACTAATTTGTCTATAGAGTTCAGACATTTTTTTTACCGAACCACACAAGGAATACAGTTTTTAAAGGTGTTATTTAAAGTTTTTACTAATCAACAAAATTGTCTTCCATTTATGTTGGAAAATAACTCTCATTTATCACCTCTATAGTTGATTTGTAAGGATTAGTTTTGTTTTTACGAGTTGATCACGGAATGATATCAGTTAGAGAACCATTGTAAACCAGCGGGTACTGAACAGCTGTTTCATGCTAGTTTGATAATCATCGGCAGTACGTACCCACTGGGGTTCGAACCCAGGACCTTCCGGTTGCAAAGCAAGCTCGTATACCATATCAATGGTTCTCTAACTGAAATCAGTCCGTGATCAACTCTCAATTATCCTCCATTACACATCATGGAGTATACACATTATATCATAGGAACGGTTGTAGAGAAGAAAATTTTCTTTTTGTCGAATTCATCGACATTTTTGTATTTATAGTGGGGGGAAATGAGAAAGTTCTAGAACTGTTTCCAGTCAACGGTCAAATTAATACGACTGATGATAGGTATTATAGTGTAATAATAAAAAATAAACGGAAAGATCCGATTAAAATATAGTGTGGTCATAATTATTTAGAAAATTGACATTTTGTGCAAACAGGTGTTAAAAACTTAGTAATAGCAAGGAAATAGGATAAACATCATTGAAAGAATTGCCTGTTTATGATGGCCCATGGTAGAGACAGCGGTTGGATACTTAGCACGGGCTTGAACTTTTGGTTCGCTAGTGCTTCACTTATACCGAAGTACATTGATCTTACTCTCCTTGAGAAGTCTGATCTGATCTTGTCTATGATTTTGAATGACTTTCAATATTTAGCTGAGTGTCTTGACTTCACTAGATATCCTGTTGTCAAGTTAGATACACACACCTGTACTTTTCCTTTTCTGTCCAGGCTGGATAGTGTTCTCCAGAGCGTTTTACAGGAGGATGCATGGTATGGCCAACGTACTCAACTCCACGAGAACAAGTGAAGTGGTACGTGTATGTTGAAATGGTCCAATACACATTAGTACAGAGCTTGCCAATCTAACCTATTAATACCTACTAGCTGGGCAGCTATTCTGGTTATAAACGGATAACTGCTTGTTATTCAATCACATTACAACTAGAAATTAGCGTTGATGACTGCAGTAAAACACTCACATGGTTGATAAATGGTAGAACGCCAGGTTGGCTCTCTGAAGTCTGATAAGTGAAATCTTGCCCCGACTCAGATTATCATTTCATGTTCTGTCACCACTCGTTACACCAGTGGTAATCTTCTAATCCAAGGCTACACCAGATAGTTCAGCTATTATCAAACAGTATTCTTGTAATATCTTCAGAAGAGTGGAATTTTCTTTAATTTTTAGATGCATTTTATTTACCGCTGCCACTCAATGGCTCTAAGTCTTACAACGAGGTTCTCGTTCATTTCTTTTGCATACCATTCAAATGACTAGTTGGTGTCAAGTATGGTTGTATTAATGTTACTTTACTCGTCTATACATCTATATGTAATTCTATTCAAAATAAACATGACATCTTAACCGAAATGTGGATTGCGATTCCGACTCTTGTTACCAGTCTAGGTACTAGCCTGTAAGAAGTATTTCATTAAATGTATATGAAACTGCATAATTACTATGACCGAATAGTTAGGATTTATGTATTTTCTTATTGATTTTTCACTGTTTCCCTACTGTTTTGTGTAACACTTCCATCGTTTCTCAAAAGCAAACACTATTTTTATGTTTATTTAGTCCTGAATTAGTTAAAAATGATTTTCGTGCATCTGCGGAAGCTGCTGTCGCTCAACATTTGCCTCCCGGTGAACATCCCGCTGATTTACACTTTGTAAATGTCACTCCAATCCCAGTGACATCTTCAGTAGTATCGACAACCATTTCATCCGAACAAATTAATGTTTCTATGAAACAGGGTATTGATAGTTCATGGGATCGTTTAAAAAGCGATACTACCACCAAATATCAATCGAATGCACCATTGCCAACAGACAATATCACATCTCCTTCAAAATATTGGTTGAATATGGCTCAAGACAGTTCATTGCAGTCTACTGAAAAAAGCAAAGTAATCTATAGCAATGAACCTCATGCTGTGCCTACATTATCAGTTAAACCTAAAACGGATTCTGTCACTGTAAAATATGATACTTTCAAGACGGAAGGAATGACTCAAAAACAAGGTAATGATCATTTGTACTGTCGCGTTGATATATTTTTTTATTGATATTAAGATATTTATATTCCCATTGTGGAAATTTCTATGCATTGTGTGCAAAACAAATTTCTTGGTTTTAGTCGACTCAGCGGTTTGAAAAATTCTCTTCAGCATCTTAAAAAAGGGTTTTTGTTTGGTACAATGGTAGGCACTTCTGCACACGACAGTAAGAACTGGATATGCTTTATTTAGAAATCCGATCATTTTGGTCGCAATACACGTAATCATCAGAGTATACACCGTTCATCCTTATCGCAACCCACCTCTTGGTCTAAACTCATCCTCTATCGCAAACTGTTTCTTGATAACATCCTGATCAAAACAAACTTCCGTTCTTAATTTTTTTTTCTACTATACACAGTGATACTGGCATCAAGGAATCAAATGTTTCTCGTTGTACAGTGGCCATATACTGAAGGTCACTGACACTTTAGAAAAGTTTACAGTAACCATGCTTCTTGAGTTTCCATATCTAATTACAAAAGATCCATATATACACAGCTTATTGTCCTCACAGTGCCGATAATCTGCCTGACTACGCTGGACTGGATTATTTGGCACATGGTAGGGAGTAAGAACATCAGTATATATCGGACTGACAAAACAAAGACTCTTGAAGATCTGAATTTCTCAGATGCTTCATGTCTTATGTCGTAAAAACTCGAAGAGTTACAAGGAAAATCCAACGAGTTGTTAAAAGAGGCGTCGAAAACAAGAGTCCAGGTGGGCATAGACAGAAATGACGAGGATGCTGAACTGGCAACTGGCAAGAGCTAATTGCTAGAAAAAGTTGTTTGCTTCTCCTGCGAGAAATGTCCAGCATCCTTTCAGTTACATGTGGCACAGATGAGCATGTAAAAGCCAGCTTGTATTGCATGGCGAAAGCAAGGCTGGTGTTCACTATTCTTAAATCAGTGTGAAGATCTGGAGTTCACCGTACAAGGGATAAGATCCTAATTTCTAATGTCAAGTCAGTACTTCTACATGGTTGAATGACTTCTCGTGCTTATGAGCAGACTAATTTCCAACTGGAATGATTCTGAAGACCACATGTCAGGCCGGAACTCTGCCAGGCAGCAAACCACTGATTTACCTATTACCCAGCAGATATTCAGAAGATTATGGATATGGATTTGAATGCGTTGAGGAGACTTGCAAGTGACTCTGCACTCCAGGCTATACAGTGGCACTCGAATGGGAAGCGGAGTTCACGTGAGGAAGGAATGCAATCTACCGGGTATTTGTGGATATATTTGATAGTGATAACAGGTAAATGAGTGCAATGAAGGTGTGTCCCTGGAGTGCTGTGTTCAGTTAGGAACTCAAGGATTGAATATTAATGATAATGGCATTCTTCTGTCTGTACCAGTAAATACCCATCGTGATGACACCTCATCGGTTGCGTCATACCAGTTAACACAAGTTCCCTCATTCATTTATAGACTTTTACTGGAATTGCTTATTAACTTGTAACCTTGATGTTACCTATTATGTTTCAAACCAAGCCAATTAGAAGAATTGAGTTAAAACTATTAAGATGAGTTTTATGTGTGGTTTGTCGTGCATTGCATAGTACATTCATATTAAAATACTGCTTGTCACTCATTAGATCCTACCCTTATCTTACATTTTTTAAATTAGAATTTTGTAGTGTGCATGCTCGTACGAGTGACTGGTTATATAATCTATGAATTCCTCCTTTCTGCATTGTTATAAGGAAATATTAAGATTATAATTGTTCTAATCAAATTTACATATTCCTAATATAAATTCTTCCAGAAATTACAATAAAGCCAATAACTACTACGACCACCAACCAATCATCTGTCAGTTACACAACCACTGCAAGTGTAAATTTACAAGGTCTATGGGATCAGAAGTCAGCTTTCAAACCAGTAATACGTTCTTTAGAAGCTGCTAAAGTAAGTGAATGAAAATGACGTTGTTGTCTTATAGTGTTCTTACAGTGTGTAAAGTTTCAACTCGAAATAGGCATTATGTAATGCCTTCCTAGCACCATTTCGCTCCCTTTATATATATATATATATATATATAGGATAATAATAGCTTTATTCCAAAACAGTACTTTTACTACAATATTGCATCCAGTTAGTACATTAACAATAAATAAAGTTCTACATAGATTAAAGTTATCTCAGTTAGTTTTGACAACAACATATTAGCATGTCGTTAGCAAAGCTAAAATTAAGCAGAGTGTTAGGTGCTGGAAAAGTAAGTGCTTGCATATTTACTGGCGTAAACAGAAAGAAAGCAACAAAGTTGCACATAACAGAAAAAAAAAGCGAGAAAAGGAAAAGAAAAACGTTGTACCTATAAATGATATGAGTTGGAAAGACGAGATCCAATTGTTCCACTGACTATTTCAAAAGTTAAAGGTTTCACGCCTAATGCTTACATTATCGCACAGAACACGAGCTAAGTAGGGTATGGATGAGTTTTTTTACTTACTAGTGCGGGCGTATAGTTTCCTGTATAGGCTTCTGGTTTTCCCTGAAGAGATACAAGAGGAGAGTTGTGAATGAAGAGGGTGTTGTTAGTCAGATAAAATGGATTTATATATATATATATAAGTGGGCGATTCACTTCCGTAAAGCTTGCATCTGCCATCCATATTAGCGATGAAACTTTTCTCTATTTGAACAACAACATGCTGAATACAGTCTGATTGTATCAGGCAACAAATTGAATTAGATGATTCCGAAAATTGGATTATGCCTTTATTAATGAAAGAAAAAATAACAATAATCAGAGCATATGGCACGAATTATTATCAAAATGAAAATGTTCGTAAATATTCTCTAAAAACAAAATTATACAAGATTGCGACTAACTACAAGTAAATAGTAATAACATAAAATCTAAACATATGGTAATACTGAAGTCAGTTTTTGAATGTTGACTAGCAATGGAGTCCAGGATGAGCATTTCGTACTATTTAGGATTCGTCATCTGGATGTACCTGCATTCCCCAGTCATTTAGTGATAGTGTACTACCCGAGGCTCGAACCCAGTGCCCATAGCTGCAAATGTCAAAGCGTTATCCACTAGACACGTTGCACAAGAGGTGGCTCTAGTTGCCAAAGTACTCTGGTGGATAACGCCTTGACATTTGAAACTATGGTCACTGGGTTCGAGGCTGCGATGATTGTCAGGTCAAATATATAGGTCAAACCAGTAGAACAGAGGCAGTCAAACTAGCCGAACATAAAAACCTAGCAAAATCTAGATTGCTTGGCCCGAATAAGATAGGAAATCTAGAGAATAGTTCAGCTATCCCACTCACTACATGCAATTGCATACAGCCATACAATAGGATGGAGTAAGATGACAGTTCCAAAATCTAATGTAACAGCTGGGTGGAGGGAGAGATTGGTAACAGAAGCTTTGTTTATTGAATCAACTCATAGGGAATATGTGTAATAGGAATGATTCAACACCTGTCCAGGCGGATTTCTGGAAAATTCTACTACCTCTACGACGAAAAATAGGAGAAAACAAAGAAAACTATATAACACAAATTTCGACGTCGTGTGATTATAATTGATGAAATGATTATGAACAGTAATAAATTGTGTTCGAAACGCTATCATCCAGTAAATAATACTGTTTCACTGTGTGACACATCTAATAAACAAACTAATATGGAATGTTTTTCTAGTCCTTTGAGACTGAAACTTTAGGTCTATGAGTATAGTGATGACATGTATCCATATAAATTGTGTGTTTGTTTGACAGTCTGATATATTTTGCTATGTATATATGGATCGATATTCCATTATAATTAGCCAGTCATGTTAAGACTGTCTATTGATTTGTTCACTTTGAATTCGCTGTCACACTTGTGTTCACACACCTGTTCAGACATTCATATATATTTTGCTCTCACACACTTGTGTGATTATTGATTCTCCTGGTGTTTTGGAAAATAGAAGTACCATGGCAAACCTAGTGGTTTTCTGATTTCCGTCTTTCTTGCGTCAGGACTATTAAATTCTCGACCAGTACATAACAATAATTTGGCGATGAGTACATAACAAGTAACACCTTTTGTTTTAATGAATTCCTGATCTCTTATAAGTTGATTCAGTATAGTAATACGGTGGTGGTACAGTGGTCAAGAAATAACTTTTTAATATCTTTCACTAACACTTTACAAATGAAATATTCTGTGAAACGAATGTCTATCCTATAGGATTCATAGTTAGTTACTTGTTATCAACGTGCCCTAATAAGGATGTAGTCATAATACTTATCCGTTTTTCATATTGTATTGACTAAGTTGATTTCTGAGAATACTTAACCTTTGTTCTCCTTTTTTTCTTTTGCTCTTCCAAAGGATCGATTTTTCTCAAGTAATTCACTGTTTCCAACATTCTCACAAGCAAAACAGTTTCCTGTAGTAACACAGTCAGGGATCCAGTCGACAACATCAGCTAATATCTCTGAGAGAAATGCTGTACCCACTACAAGTCAAATAAAAATGTTTCCAAGTAGTGTGAACAAAGATGTTGCCAATATCCCTATATCCAGTGATGAGTTTTCAGCTTTAGTACCTCCACCAGCAAAATCATCTTCAAAATTATCAACTTCTGAGTTCGATTTATCAAGCTTAAAGTATGACGGTTTTAAAACTGCTAACACCTCTTTTGAACCAAACAATAAATTCTTACCAATTAAAGATTTTCATGATAGGTTACCATCTACTACAGTGATTACACCGAGTCCGTCAACCACCAGTGATAATATTTCTATGACTGCCACCACGCAAAAGACAACTACCTTCACAACTTCTGCTGGGTACACTCGAGGTTCTGAAATAGTGGATAAGACAAGCTTGGGAGACCATTACACATCACCACAATATTATGTATCAAATTATGCACCAACCTCGAAATATACACCATCTGAATCAAATTATGGTGATGATTCTAAATCGAGTGTACAAAAGTCATCGCTTTATCCTGAAATCTCACGCCCACCATCTCCCAAGGTATTCAAGGAATCTGCTGTTGACATTCCACTAAACTATGAGAAACAATCTTCATTTAGCGCTGAAGAACACCTTAAAGCATTAAGAATAAGAGCAGGTCTAGGTCCTATACCAGGATATGAATCTGGATCATTGAGGAATGCATCTTCAATGACACCATTATCAACATACAGCTCAAGCTATTCACCTACTCTCCCTTCGTATAGTGTTTCCTCTTCGAAGCCGGGTCGATATGACTCAGAAACTGATCTTCCAAAACCTACCTATTCCATTAACATAAATTCTTTTGTTCCAAAAATGCAAAGCTCCAGTACTTCAACACCGTCTATACCATCTTTCATCTCTAATTTCAAATCAGGTCTAGTTGGACCAATAAGTAAAATTCAGCCACATTCAGGACCGTCGTCCTCATCGAACCAGTCGTCAGCATCAGCAGCAGGAAACAGACCTTCCGCATCAAGCATGTTTTCTAACTTCCTAACGTCGGCAGCTTCAAAAGCCCAAACAGTAGCCACAGGTGCTTTGAAACAAGCAAATGCTGCAGCTGATGCTGCAAAAGTCGCTGCCAATCAGGCGGCTGAACAATTTGTAGCCCAAGCTAATCAAGTCCATCAGAGGACTGCTAGTCAAATGCAACATCAACAACAATCACAACCGAAACCTCCTGTTCAACAATCGAATATACAAACTAAAGACATCACTATGAATAACATTCCCTCATCTGCTAAACTGCCTAGTGACACTGTGACAGCGGTTAATCAGTCAACCATATCACTAGAGCAAAAAGATACATTAGCAGAAAGTTTGAAGAAAACTCAAACAACTGATCATACAGTAACTAAAAACTATCAGCCAGAAGAAGGTCAGCATCAACACCAAGAACAACCACGACGCTGGTTACATGAACAAACTATGGATGCTACTACAGATGATGACTACGATGATGCAGAGTTTGTTTATGAACAGAATCCTTATGAATCGGATGATCAGAGACAAATTTCTGATGATTGGGGTGATAATTATTTATCACCTACAAAAGAATATGATGACCAGGCAGATGTTGTTAGGCAAGAATTATACGACGACGACGACAGATATCGAAACATTCAGCTGAAAACTCAGTCAAGTTTTGATAATACAGCTTCAAGGAATAAAAATCAGTATGCTTCAGATGGTGATGATGCATACAATGAGGATATTAATTCACAGGCCTATTTATCAGACTTATCCGATCCAGACGCTGTGCGTGCACTACGTAGTCGTGATAAAATGATGATGGTTGCAGCGACTGGGATTTACTCGCCTTTACCTAATGGACCAAATCAACCAGGTTTCTTTGATGATATGAATGATCTGGGCGATCAAGATGATTTCGATACCGAAAAACGGTTGAAGAGTGAACGCAGACAACTTAGTCAAAGTAAGAGATTTTCAGAAAACATTTATTATTTATCGATTTTTGTAGAATATGTTCATGTTGATTTATCGAAGTATGTGTATTCTCCATAGATTACCTATCTTTTTTCAAGCTTGCCTTCTAATCGGGAGGTCTTAGCTTCGAACACTGGTGGTTGTTTACCGCCGATGAGTCCTGAACTAGAGCAAAACAGCGGTTCAATACTCCCTTGTTTTCAACGGTTCTCTAACTGATATCAGTCCATGGTCAAACTTGAAACGTATCATTTCTTCAATAATCCGTTTAATACACGTCTAAATGCTTTGAAACAGAACTGGAAAATACTTTAATTAATGCGTATTAATGTTTTGGACAGAATTGTGCAGAAAATATTTCCCCTTGACAGAATGTTTAGCGTGACACTGAATAATCATTTTCTCCACTTCATCCACTCCTTCCTAATTGAGCGATATTTGAGACATAATATCACAAGGTGTGTTAGATATTAAAATCATCCCTGTACCCAAGTCTGGTTCTGGAAATAATTTAAAGTTTAGACCTATTGCTGTCATATCTCCTTTTTTGAAACTTATGGAGAAATTATTGCTATTAAAAGCTGTTCCCTCCCTAAGCTTCTCAAATGATTTAAAGCATTTTGCTTACAAACAAGGTAGAAGTACCTTAGACGCTGCTGCTGTGTTTCATCACAACATTGTATCCTCCTTAGACAAAGGGGCCAAGTATGTTTGTTGTAGGCTCCTTGATTATAATTCTGCTTTCGACCTTGTACCCAGAGGCCTTTTGTTAAACAAGCTTAACCTTACACAAACTGAGTCCTGGGCTATCAACTGGCAGCAGTACACGGCATATAATGGTGTATCCTCCTCTCCTTTGCTTACTGAAGCTGGTGTTCTTCAGGGTGCTGTTCTCTCTCCGTTTCTCTTTTCCTTCTTCTTACATGACTTACCTCTTTCAGACGAAATCAACTTCGTCAAATATGCAGATGACCTGACTGTTTCGCTTCCCGTTAAGTTTCAGTCAGACTGTTTCAAATTAAAAATAGCTTCCTGACAGACATCAGTCAGTGGTCTAAACTAAATGGCCTTATGCTGAATCCCTCGAAATGCCAGACTATTGACTTCGCTTTTAGGCACAAACGAGATCTATAAACACTAGTAAGTACTCATGAAGCCTGTAGCATTGAGGGGACTAAAACTGAAACGAAGTCTAATGCAAAATACCTCGGATTAGTTCTAACTTCCGACTTTACTTGGTCATCTTATATCCTAACGATTTCTAAGAAAGCGTTCCGTCTAGCCTACTACATTAAGAAGCTTGAGCTATCTGGAATCACTCAACCTCTGCTTTCACAATTTGTCAACTCTCGTATCCTACCTATTCTACTTTACTGCTCCCCATTAGTCTTTCCTGGGTTACTGAAAAAAGACTATTCCATCCTGAGAAGGATGTTAAAAATGGTTAGTAGAGTGGGACTAGTGATGCAAAACTCAGTCAGCTCGTCACTACATTTGTAGATAAGCATCCGAATACTTGCAAAAAATGGCCTAAAACCATACTCCCCGGCCACCAGCACACCCTCTATTCCCAACTCTCTCGTTGTATCTCATCAAGTAGAACCAGAAATCAGTACAAAATAATATATGCTCGTACTACCAAGTATAGGAACTCAACGATACCCTATTTGGCCCATGTTCTAAATGACAGAGACAATGTTTAGCGCGAAACCTATAACTCGCTTTGTTGTTAATAACATAATTTTGGCTCTTTTATTTCTCTCTTATTTGTATTCTATAGTGAACACTTTCTTAAACATACTTAGCTACCTAAATTATTAACATTGGCTTACTTTTTTTGTACTTTGCTCTATTCCCTCTTTTGTGTATCTACTGGTTTCAGCTATATATATATATATATATATATATATATGCTGGAAATTTCACACTGTACCACTAGTACTGTTTCTGGAATAAAGCAAATTATTGTTATCATATACATACTTGACCACTATTTCATCCTAGTGTAATGCTCTTCATCAGTACGCAAACATAACCTTATCCGAGGTCGAACTTGGGACCTTCAAGTTACTAGATGTGCCTTATAATCATCTGACCATTGGGACAAAATATTGTCCACTAGACCACAAAGACAACAAAAAATTATGCGTAATCAACATCTGTTTCCTTCTGATTTGGCACTCTTTAGCTGTGTGCACACATCACCCTATCAGGGATCGAACTCATATCGGAGCGATCTCTTTGACTACTGGACAAATGGGATTTGTTGGTGGTTAAATGGTAAAACGCTGGATAGCTGTACGGAAGATGCAACTTCGATCACCCGCTAACTCTCTCCTGATCCTCGCCCAGCCTAGTAGCAGGTAATAAACTCAAAAAAAAACGAGAGATGTTTGGACATCAGGCTAGAATTCTCACCCAGTGAGAAAATACAGCAACGCAACTAATAAGACCTCAAAGTTTAAAACCCTATTTCCAACCTAGAATACAAAATAATAAAAAACCGAAAAAATATCTGTTTTATGCATCATTATTTAACTAAAGGTGTTACCCAAACTATACGGGAAGACCACTTGAATCCTTAAGGGCGATTAAATATAGAAAGAACAGAACAAATTGATATAATCACTGAATAAGATCAAATGTGATCGAATGACAGTCTGCAGTTTTCTGGATTACTCAATGATTATTTACTCAGTGAACATTAGGCCACTACAAGGTAGCGAGTATGGAATTATCTCAATGTCAAGCTAAAAACCAATGTGCTGTTTTACTTTCAAATATATATATATATATATATATATATATATATTATAATGACTGATGTCAACGAAAACTGATATGATGACATCGTCAGTGTATTGGCTCAGCTAGAATAATTTAAAGAAGTCTGGCATATTGTTCAGTTACTTACATTAATTACTGGTATATTTCCACAACTGCCAATCTTATATCCTGTGAGAGAAGATAACCCTCAATCATTTATGTTAAAGAAACCTCTGAGTTTTAGGAATGATTTAAACATTTCGAATAGAGTCATACACTTCTCCTTGTTTTAACTTGAATACTGTATCTTCCATTTCGAGAATTGAATGGAATTTCTGAATCATTAACCACTATACGTTTTCGTGATGTCTTCATTGAATGGTTTAGTTAAGAGTCTAATTTAACTCAGCTGTCATAAACAGAAAACGCTGCATTAAATAATAAGCTAAACACTTCATTACTTTACACATAGTTAAATCCTTTTCCCTTTAAAACTGGAATGCAGAGACATGAAAGGAAATTACTGCATTGATTTTATGATTCCGTTTTCCCTAAAATTTAATGCTTTAACATCTGAGGTTGGTCTTTCAGATATAAATAAACTGGTATTTGATATATACTGCCGACAAAAAGCAACAGTACTGTGTTGTATTCGAAAAGATACCAAACAATAGCTCCAGAATTAACGTTAACAATAATAATAATAATAGTAACTAAAAATTCTTTTATAAGCCAATCTAAAATCAGAAACCGTTTTTTATTTTGATTCAAACGGATGTATTTTCTCGACGTGGTTTCCTCTATGTAGTCCAAATCTTTCTGTTTCAGAAAAGTTGTAATTCCCTCTTTCATTAAAAAAATATTTATCTAGTGATATAGTGCACCTATGCTTAAAAATGCTTGCCATCTATCTAAGGCATAGCTCATTATTATTGTTATTATTACTATATTATTGTGCGTCTGTGGCACAGTGGTTAGGACTCTCGCCGACCATGCACATGGTCCGCGGTTCGATCCCCTGCCGACACACACCTGATATCTATGTTCGGCCTACAAAATTTGGGCTACCGATATCCATGCTGAAAATTCCATACTTGTACCAAAAAAAACAGTGCGGAATCAAGCTGTAATCAAAAATAAAATAAATAAATAATGCCAAGTTTCTTGTATTTAAGTGTCGGTTTGTAGGGATTTGATTGGTTACAGGATTTTCATCATGAGCTGACATTAGTTACAGAACAATTGGAAAACCTGGGAGTACTGTTGTTGTTGTTGTATTCATCATTTCAGTAAAGCACCCAATGGATTAACTGTTGAGGTGTGCTACTGAAGAGGAATTGGTAATTAGTTTATCGGTGAATATCGGAGTGACAAATTCAGTTGTGAAGAGAAGATATGAAGATTACTGTGAAACAATAGAGGAATCATGAAATGAACACTGAAGAAGTAGAATATAAATAACTTTTGCAGATAGAATATTATTATTATTCCCTCGGGTTCTGAGTGGAACATAGGGCTTCAACAACATTCTCTGAGGTCCCCTTTAGCTGGCTTTGTGATTGCCCAAAAGTTCTCATCCTCTTTCCACGCGACCTTCTCCATGTCATCCACGGACCACACAACGCACAACTCCCCTCGTTTCCTATTTGGATTCTACTCAGAAGACTGACCTCACTCAATATTGTTGTTTCATTGCCATTTTCTTCAGCGAATTGGTTTTGCAATAGGTTTTTGTTTAGTTCGTCGGCAGATGTCTTCGTTGCTATCTAATCGTCAGTATGCAACCAGCAAAGACAGCTGCTGATAAAAGCCCACATCCTGTTATAAATGCTTTTCTTGATGCATGAGCCAAGTTTCTTACCTATATTTAGAGAAACTGAGTGACTTAACACTGGTGTTGAAAATTTGAATTTTGTTGTTCATGCCTAGTGCAGAAGATTTCCACACAGATTTAGGAATGATGAATGTCCGTCTCGCCTTTCTGTCATCTTTGCTGTGGCCTGTAGTTGAAATGGTACTCCCTAGATAAGTGAAGGAAGTGCGGCCTGACCTCTTTCAGATTTCTACCATTGATAGCCATTGGTGTTTGTGGTTGTCTTTGTTAGTTGGTTGATTGGTTGACTGGCTATCTTCATCATCTCTGTCTTCTCTATATTTGCTGGAAGTTCTGTCTTTGCTGCTGCTTCTTCTTCTGCGAGCTTACAGTCTTCTAATTCTACTTATCATCACAAATATTTCTACGTCATTTGACACCTGAACATATAATCTAGTCCAGTGTGTTGTGTGACTGAAACATTAGACTGAGTGAAGGGGTTTTCAATGCATAGTATTTTCGTCACAACATAATTAAAATATACACTGAGGGTTTCAATATTAAACACAGGATAACTATTGGATAAACTCCCCCACCACCGAATGATTTGTACTGGTTCAATATCTTTTGGTGCAGTGCAGCCTATTTCACATTCCTAATTATCACTAATTACTTACATAACTATTATCAAATTACTTTACTGTGGAATTTCAACCTTTTTGATGTATACTACTGATAAGTGTATAATAGTAGTACACAAAAATTAAACATTGATGCGTTTGTTTGTTTTTTTAACTTTTAGCGCGTGGTACGTTCGATTTTGAAAATTATGAATACGATGACCAAAAGGCTAGATCGCCCAGGATCAGTAAAACCCACCCCATTCAGGATGACGCATATACTGGTATTAATGACAATGATGCACTTAGTAGAGATCAATATCGAAATGAGTAAGTCTGTTTACCTATTACACAACGCAAGCGTTCTATATATATATATATATATATATATATATATATATAGATCACAGGGGAAAAAGTTTATTACGTATTTTTAAAGTTCTTCTTATTCTAACTTATCTGTAATGCTTTCATAATTCACTAGTTAATTTTGTTTATTGGATACTAGTCAGTAATTAGTGTAATGTGTCCAGTCCTCCTCCTACAGGAGGTCAATTGTGAACCAGAATAGCTGAATGGTAACGTCTGTGACTCCAGCACTGGGCGAAGTGGGTTCGAATCTCAGAAGAGAAATGAGTTGCTTCAAGTTTGCAGATACGCCTTGCTGACTGATGAGTGTCAACGAGTATGATACCTAGATCCAAAACTTCCTATCTATCGCCTCCAGCCATCTAATTTCATTACTCAGTTGAAATTATTTGGAACGACTAATCTCTTTAATCAGTTTCAAATGGCGTTATCGGAAGACGGAGTTATTCTGACAAAATATGCTGTATTTCAGCAATACATTACGAACAATATGGCTTTTTAATTTTCGTCTAAATTGATCTAGCAAGTAAATCTGTGATTGAAATGTTGAAAATGTATTGCGAAAATACGTCACATATGTCAGACAAATTCCACCATCTAGTAACACTGCCCAAATTCAAATGATGTTTTAAGTTGTCCAGTGATGAAACTAGATGTGATGTTACACAGGGTGTTTACTTGTTGCATATATATCTACTAGAAAGGAGAAGGATACCACAGTTACGACTTCCGACCTACGTTTACCACTGATTTCTTCACAAACCCTAGGCTTTTCCCTAAGTACTTTGTTGAATGCCTAACTTATTCGTCAAGATGTAGTGTATTTTTACTAGCCTAATAAAGTAATACTCCTCATATCCCATTTAAACTTAACATTAAATAATGACAAATCTGGACAGGAGTGAATTGAATGAGGCAGCCATCCAGTTGCAATAACACTGTCAGCACAATTAAGTGAAGTTGAAGTGCTCAGTTTTGTACAGCAGGTCAGGTGTGAGTTCAAATATTCGTCGAAGACATTGGTTAGCCTGTTTAAAATATTCTTCGTGACCCACCCGTCAAGTTTCTGATCCGTATAGAAGAACTGACTGACTTGACGTTTGTATTGAAAATCCTACCGAATTTTGTTGTTGATACTGGCTGAGTGACAAAGATTTCCAGATTGGTTTCAAGCTGATGAATGTGTTTCTTGCCTTCCCGATTCTCGCTCGATTTGACATCTTCGTCCGTTCCTGCTGTAGTTGAGACAATGCTCCCTAGCTGGATAAGTGAATGAAGTAACCTCTTTCAAATCCCTCCCGTTGATGGTGATTGGTGGTGGATGTTACTGTAGCTGTTGTTGTTGTTGGTTGGTTGGTTATTTTCATAACCTCCGTCTTGTCTACGTTCACCTGGAGTCCTGTCTTTGCCGGTTTGTAAAGACGTTACTCAGAAAACGAAGACGAATATACAAAATAAATTGAAGAGTTCAATCGATGATCGAAACCGCGTAGATGTCTTTCCGGTGAATCCTGATAAGTACGTTACAAATCTTTCTGATATTACTCTATCTACTCATCAGAAAGAAGCTTTATCCCTTGGACTCAAATTTTGTGTTCCTCGCACGCAATTTACGGATTTAGCCATCCATGCTGAGTTTGAAAACTTATATGACCAACTCAAACCTCTTACCGCAACATCCGATGAAGATCGGGGTTGGTTTAAGGCCAAGATGGTGGATATAGCTCACCAGTTTTTAAACAACAACCCAAAGGAGAAAAGTATTTTAAATTCCCAACATTTCAAAGCCTTGAAAGAGCTACGGGAAAATTCTAATATAATTATTACTAAACCTGATAAAGGTTCTGGAGTCGTCATTATGAATAAAAGTGACTACAAATCCAAAATGATGTCTATTCTTGATGATAAGAGCAAATTTAGTCGTGATCCCTCCTCAGAAGATATTCAGTTGTTGCAGGGCACAGTGACAGCTAATCTACTGAAGCTTCATGGCCTAAATGCTATAAGTAAAGATAAACTTGACTCATTAAAACCGTCAGATTGTAAATTCCCACATATGTATGGGTTGCCAAAAATACATAAACCCAATAATCCTCTACGTCCTATATTGTCAATGTGCAAATCCCCAACGCATAAACTTGCTAAATGGTTAGTGGAATTATTGAATCCAGTCAAAACACAATTCTGTAAGTATGTGTTAAAAGATACATTTGAATTGGTTGATGTTCTTGATGATAGTAATATTAATATTATGAACAAGAATATGTACTCTTTTGATGTAAACTCGTTATTCACTAATGTGCCTTTGATCAAAACAGTTGACATTTTGTGTGATTATATTTCCACAAACAATTTTTTCATCCCGTTCCCTATATCTTACTTAAGATTTATTACTTCTATGTACTAACAATGTTAGGTTTACATTTGAAGGCGATTGTTTCCGCCAAGTTGATGGTGTTGCTATGGGCAGTCCGTTAGGGCCCCTTTTAGCAGATATTTATATGTCGTACATTGAGAATTTATCGGAAGATTTAATCGAAAATGTGCCACTTTATAGAAGGTATGTAGATGATATCGTAGTCATCAGTGATAAGCCTTGTTCTGCCACCTCAATTTTAAATCGAATGAATGAAGTTCAGAATAGCATATCACTTACATCTGTAGAAGAGGAAGATAATTGTTTATCTTTCCTAGACATATTGCTTAGTCGACGGCTTGATGGGTCAATAAAAAGATCTATTTATAGAAAACCTACCTGGACAGGACAGTATCTTAATTACCACAGTTTCTGCCCTATTCGGTACAAAAGAGGCTTAGTAAGGTGCCTCTTCAGTAGAATCCGACGAATATGCACTGAAGACACGCTTGATGAAGAAGAAAGAATTTGACACAAACTCTGGTTGATAACAATTATCCAGAAAGTTCATCAGGAGATATAAAGTAGTCAGAACACCAAGACCCACTCTCCAACTCGCCCCTAAGAAAGACGTGTACATCAAGCTACCCTATATGGGACATCAAAGCAGCTTGATAACTAGACAAAGGCTGAACGCTGCTGTTAAAAAGACTTTTTATGCAGCTAATATCATAATATTAGAGAATGTAAAGCCATTGTATATATATATATATATATATATATATATATATATATATATATATATATATATATATATAAGCCCTTCGAACACGCGAAAAATGACGTCACATCCCACTGTATTTACCAATTTGGATGTACGTGTGGACACGCATACATAGGGAGGACTCATCGGTCTCTGCAAGTAAGGGCTTCAGAGCATATTCCTAAATGGCTCCATAAACAAATGGAATCTTCAGAACCCATTGATGGTGAGAACAGGAGGCCTAGCTCTTCTATTGCGAAACATATTATAGAGACAGGTCATAAAATTGACATTAACACCTCTTTTAAACCTATCTATAAAACATGTTTGAGGCGTATCCTAAAGTTTATGGAAGCTCTAAGTGGCAATTAGGAAGTTCAAGCCACCTTTATGCGTTCAAAAACAATTTGTCATCAAATTAAACCTTCTTTGGTAAATTTTGTTTTGATACCATAGCAGATGTACTATTACCTGTGCTGTTGGGTTTAGTGGTCTTCATTGTTATTTCGACCTTGAATATGTCCTTTTAACTTGACCTAAGTCTATTTTTCTCACCTCTTTATTAATTTCATATATATTCCTATGACAAGTCCGTGTGTGATCAGATTGTTCGAAATGTGTTGCGCAAATACATTACACGATTCAGACAAATTACCTCTTCTTATTTCTTTATCTATATTTTTTATTTTTACAATATTGAATTTTATCTTATCAAATTTCACACCATGTTATGTAACATTTTATATTCGTTTACTAATCTTATAATTATTTACCTCTTTCCAAAATCTATACACCTTATGTATTATTCTATATGTGACATTAATTATTTTGCCACTTGACATTAAACCATGATTATAATCACAAATACTTTAATTGGATTTCATACTACTGCTATTATTATTTCATGTATTCACACCTTTGACCTTAATTCCCTCACTGGATATAATTTTTTTTTAAACCATAAATTTACGATTGTACAGCTTGATAATAAATTCGTTGAAAAGAGTCTCTTCGCTGAATATTGTTTTCTTAATGCCACAATGGGAATTATTAAATTATTGAAGAAGTGTAGTTATCAAGAAATCCTACGTACATTTGAATTTGTCTTGTCTATTTGTCTGATTTTTGAACAACCTAAGCAGGATCTTTTATTTTATTAACCGTCACTTATTCTATAGAATATGTTTTCACTTGAGACGACCCACCCTTTCTTACTATTCTATGTTGCCGACATGTTTGTAACTCGCCTTCGGCAGAGTGAAGTGTTAACACTGAAATTTAACTTCCTAAAAGATGGTTATAGTCTAACGAAGCAACTATCTAAATATTCTTTCTATTATTATATTAAATTTTAGTTGAAATTATGACCCTTCAATATCGACTTACATTCGTTTTGTGGTGAACATGTAACCGCACTAAAGTGACTGATATGCGATAACCGGCATTAACACTAAAAAATGTTTACTTTATTTCTACAGCTTAAATCATATCCTACGACGAAGTTCCGATGGAAAAATACTTCAAACAATACATTCCTCTTCAATAACTTCTGATGATGGCTTAGTTGACAAGCAACCTATACACAAGCGTCGAATGTCGCTTGGAGCAACACGTCGGACATCAAGTGATTGGTACAGGTTTACACCGAACTTACAAACATTAGATATTCAAGAAGTTGATGACAATGAAGAAAGATGGCCAGATGAAAAAGAACGTGTAGAAAATAACTTAGACTATTCACATCATCAGTCTGAAACTTCAATTTATAAAGAAAAAATAGACAAAAAGACAGAAATTTATGAAGTTGATAATCAGGTGGTGGTAACATCTACTGCTCAGATGACTGCTCGTCAAAGATGGCATACAGCATTTGAACGTGTTTGCAGTCGTCTACATTCGGTGAGTTTTCATTTTGCCGTAAGAACTCTATGTCAACTGTTACGCAGTAGTAATGCGGTCAGACATATCTTTGTGATACAACAACCTTAAGAACTTTACTCTGCAAAGTTTATTTGGACACATACAGAATTTTCAGAAAGTTTCATAACAAGGCGTCTGTCAGTAAAAATAGGATTGGTGAAATGTTTAAGTGACAGAGCACAAAAACTAAGTAGTACCAAGGAAAATCTAAGACAGGAAGTGATACACATAAAAGACGCCTTGAAACTTCAAAATCACCAGGATTAACTAGTCAAGAAATATGCAGGGAAATGTAAAAACAAAATAAATAATGATAGTAGTGATAGTGATAATAATAATAATAATGACGACATGCAAGTAAAATGTGCGTAAGACAACACCAACAATAAGGAATCTAAATCATCAACAGTAATTCCATACAAGGAAGGAACCTCGGAAGCCTTCGGCAGAATTCTTAACAAGGCAGGAATAAAAGTGGTTGGCATTCAAACCAACAACAAACTCAATTAGAAATAAGCTTTGCTGGTTAAAGGATCCTGCCAGTGGAGCCTTTAAAACAAAACAATTTAGTTTATCTAATACCCTGTCTGCGATGATTGTCAGGTCAAATACATAGGTCAAAGCAGTAGAACAGGGGCAGTCAGACTAGCCAAATATAAAAACCCAAAAGCGAAATCTAGATTAGTTGACCCGAATAAGATAAGAAATCTAGAGAATAGTTCAGATATGCCACTGACTACATGCAGTTATACAAACATACATTGGGATGGATGGAATAGGATGACAGTTTTAAAATCTAATGTCACAGCTGGGTGGAGGGAGAGAGAGATTGATAACAGAAGCTTTGTTTATCGAATCAACTGACAGGGAATACGTGTAATAGGAATGATTCAACACCAGTCCAGTTGGACATGTGGAAAATTCTACTACCCCAATGGCAACAAATAGGAGAGAACAAAGAGAACTATAAAACTCAAGTTTCGAAGTCGTGTGGTCATAATTGATGAGATGATAATGAACAGTAATAAATTGTGCTCGAAACGCTGTCATCCAGTAAACACTAATACTGTTTCAGTGTGTGATATATCCAATAAACAAACTAATACGGAAGATGTATACTCCCTGTATAGAATCTTCAAACAATACAATAACCGGTGATATATTGTTTGAAGCAACATGGTACCATTTAAAGCATTCAGTTACGAAAATAAACAGAGATTCGTTTGAAAATAATTCCAGTCTATTTAGTATGTTTGTATTTTTCATGGTAATCTTGGCACTAAAGGGATTTTAAAGGAGAATAAGTGCACTGACGTGCTTCACATGCACAACTTTGGTGATATATGTTAAAAGTAGTTCTCCCTGGTTCGACCTACATTATATGTTTTTATTACGCTATGGCAAGATATTTCTATAGTTTTGTTCTAACACCTTTTTTTATAGAAGTTGAAATCTACTCCACGTACTGCTGAAGTTGAGCTTAAGCTTAGACGGCTGCATCGATGGTGATTTAGTATTTTTTCATAATTGAATGAAATTACTATTTTAAAGAGTGAGACTGTTACTTCTTCAATTATCCTGTGTCACTGATTCCAATTATTCTATAACTGGTTATGGACTATTTTTATAACCATTAATGTATTAGAGAGGCAACTGAATATATTTGGACTGAGCTCATGAAGCATGTGAAGGAACCCCTGAATAAGTTGACTAACAGATTTTTTTAATAACTTCAAAGAGCCTTTCAGCATACCTAGTTTTACGAAAATATCCAGCTGCCTAGGTTAAACCAGATTGTGTCATTTACAGCCAGCGGGTCGATTAATTAAATCTTTTTGAATTAGGCGGTCATTTAATCATTGTAGATTACAACTTTGAATTTTTCCGACATACATTTTCTGCAGTACTTCTGCAGTTGACCGTCCACATGACTTCGATGAATTATGTAGGAAATTTTTGAAGCATCTATGACACAGCAGTCGGAATCTTCAACAGAATTGTTATGGCCATTAAAGAAAAAGAAATACCTCTTACTGTTAAGTAACATTTGAGGAGAGTTATTAGTACATTCTGATGGGTTTATTACAGTATATGTTTTACTGTCATTATGAATGTCTGAACTTACGTGAACTTTTAATCAAACCCATTTACATAATTTTCATTTTTTTCGACTTTTCTTTTCAGGAAGGAGGTTTCCTTTCCGCAAATCTGTAAGTTTCGCCTGGCATTCATGACCAATATCATTTGCGCTTTAAATAACTTTATCCTAGAGGGAAAAACGAAGATTTTACTCATTCTCTGGTTTCTGATTTTAAACCTTTTATTTTACTATATTATGAACTGAAAAGGATAGCGTTCAATACCATTTCTTAGAAAGGGATAAAGATTGTATTCACTCTTGACATTTCCCCACCAAAATATCGTTCAATATTCCAGCACATACGATAAGAAGAGATATTTTCGGTGTTTATAGACTTTAGATGGTATATTTGTTATGCTCCGCTGAATCTCACTGCTAACAAACAATTTTCCAATAGGGAAGATTTTAAGAAAATTTATTGTTGACTAATACATATATAGGTCAATAAAATAAATAGTTTTTGAAGCAACAATGAAATTTTCTATTTAACCTTTTTTCAGTGCCCCTCAAATGATACATAGACAGTTGTGGTGAAAATTTTTCGAAATCTTTGGTTCTTTCAGAGATATAAAGTAGACGCTGGTAATTTTCAGCTAACTTTAGTGGTATTTATGATAGACAAAGTTGCTGGAGTTAGTGTCAATCACATGAAATTTAATTTAAACCTGTGACAGTGCATACTTCACAATTTGTAGAAGACAGTTACCCTGTAGGTGTTTCAACTGTTTCCAGCCTACTAGCTGGACGGATCCACATCTCATACACCGTTTATTTTAAGCTTTTTTTATTATGATGAAACTTGTGTTTGTGGATAACTGTCTACTGTAAGCCATACTTGGTAGTTGTATATACAAAATAACTTCAGTAATCTTATTTTTTCTTTGAATTTTGTTAACATTACAGACCTCTCTCGGATGATCGACACACGACATTTTATACAAGCATTGACAGTATGCCAGATATTCGTTTGAAGAAGAAACCGAAGTCTTTGGTCAGCGATTTAGTAAGTATTAAAATGTTTTTACCGATAAAATAAAATAAAATATAAAAAATTATTATATGACACATTTAATGATCATTACTATCATCGTCATTATTCTCGATAAGTTGAAGAACTTTTGGTTCCGGCATTTTGTTTTATAAAAGGCATGAAAAAGAACTCAAAATGCTCTGTTAGGCTGCATGAGCAGCCAACAAAATGAAAAATAAATATTACCAACACTGGGTGACGCGGGTTCAAATCTCCAAAAAGGGACATGAGTTCCTTCAGGTTACAGATATGCCTTGCTGAATGATGAGTGCCAACTAGCACGAAACCAAGATCAGGCAAGGCTTCCTGTGCCCGATTGCCTCCAACTATCTAATATCATCAAACCAATGTTCACCGTGATGGCGAGCTACCTAGAATATTGGTCACATTGCAAACCTGACTGATAAAATTGAGTCTGCACCAAAGAAAAGACTAGATACGTCACACTAGTTACTAGTGTCCAATGAAAACATTACCAGTGTCATTTTTTAACAAGATAAGTAAAATGATTCTGGTCGAAACTAGATGTCAGTTAGTACTTGTGTCAGTCATCTGGTACAACCTACAAGACAATGACTGCACACACTCTGAGGTTTCTATAGAGCTGAAAGTCTTGAGGCAGTCGTCTTTCTTGAATTATTACTCCCTAAGTTCAAAACATTTTTAGCCGTTATAAAAAGAAGTCACCTGCTCACTATTCCTGTCGTTGTTTTTTTTCTAATCATGAAAGAAGGAACAAGCAAATAACCAAACCTACAGTTTTACTGATAATGTTAGATAAAATGATATTTTATAAGCCTCAATAAATTCTAATGGGATGATGATTAAAGTGGATCAGTTCAATGAATTTTGCACAGTTCCTGTTGTTGTCTTTTACTGAATCAGAAGAATCAACCACCAGAGGTACACAGGTTTCCTATAATGCCTTTGATGGCAGCTAATTATAATTTTGTTCGTGATAGCTAACAGGGACGTTAGTGGCGCAGTGGCAGAATGCTCGCCATCCACGAATTTGGTTCAGGCTCGATCCCCAGCCAACGCACTCCTGAACCTCGCTGCGCCAGTAATAAGATTGGTAAAAGGGCAAGGTTGGGCATGAAGCTAGCGACGCCATCCAGTAAAAATAAACACTGCTACAGAAACTTCAAGCCTGTAGCTTGAAGCCCAATGTTCCACTGGGAACGTGAAGGAAAAAATAAATAATAATAAAACAGGGGAATTCGGATTGAATATTTCAACCTGTTAGAATTCGTCAGTAACCGAGGTCAAAGTCCTTAAGGTTATCATATTTGTACTTCAATGACTACAGTACTAGCCATTTATTATTAAAAGTTTTGAACTAAGCCAAAACTTCTATGTAACGCTGCTTGAACTCATTTGAACTGGTAGAAAAAACCCACTGAAGAGTATTATTTGTTGTCTTCCCCTATTGTATGTTAGTGCTGATACGAATCCTTATTTTTCTAAACAGTCGTGGCTATCACACGGATATTTGACTACACATATATATTAGAACTCGTCAATAGTTTTACGAATTCTTACAGTTCTCTGTGAAAACTTGTTATCTCATAATTAACGAATTCGCAAGTCAAGTCCTTCAGTTTTCCCGAAAAAAAGATAATGATTATTAATGTAATTTTTTATTAAAGGCATGCTTGAGCTGTATAATTAACTATTCAAAAGGCTACCTAAATGTGTATAGATCCATTGGGAAATTTTATTATTCCCTCAGGTTTTGAGTGGAACATAGGTCTTCAACGGTTGATCACCACTTGGTTTCGTTCTCTGCAGTCCTGTTTAGCTAGCTGTGCTACTGACCAAAAGCTTAAATCCTTCAAAACTATATCCTCAAGCCATCCTCGGATGCCCACCTCATTGTTTCTCATTGGGGTCCACTCGGAAGACTGACTGGCGCGAGTGTTCACTCAGCGGTCTTCTCAGCGTGTGTCAGAGCAACCTCCATTTTTCTTCGGCATATTTCTTAGGAAAGAGATTATTAGTTGGTCAGTTCACATTGCCAATGTCGCTTGCAGCTAATCCTTTCTGGATGGCCGTTCGATCTTCAGTATGCAGTGAAGGCAACAGTTGATCATTAGGAAGAGAAACACAATAATGCCACGCGAAAGCATTTGACTTAATATGTTCTGTTTTCTATTCCGGATATACGAAACAGCACTTACACACACACACACACACACACACACACACAATTCACCTCACTTTCTTTATATTTATGAAGACAACCAAAGTACAAATTTCAGTTAATCAGGTGGTTAGTGACCAGCTTCTACAGTTTTGTATTCATCAGTAGTTAAATGGAGTCTTGAGACTAGATTGTCACTAAATTTGACTTTTGATAACAAAAAATTCATTAAAAAAAAACGTAGTCCCGGCACCTTTGGATTCATTGCTGTTCCTTAAGAGAACGATTTTCATTTTTCAAATCTAAGGGTAGGTATGAATACAGTAAACGCCTTTATATTTTCATTTTTAATAGTTATGTTGAGCATACCTACATTTAAAATCTTTGTGACAGCTTATTTTCCACTTCAATTACTCTGATGGATTTGGATATGACAGTCATTCACAATGCATATTCACATCCATTATCTGTAATCTTACTTTATTTTACTGATTGATTGTTTTAGGTCATTCAGGTAAGAAAGTGATGATAATTGGTGATAATAATAATAATAACAATAGTACTAACAATATCAAGAATAAATTGGAGTTCCGTTTTCTTGTTCTACTGATAAATTCGTATGCTTGCATGCCGTATTCAATTCCGTATTTTGCATGTCTCAATTATACGTATATGTATATATGTGTATATCTATCTGCATTCTTATATAACAGAGACAGTTAAAACTGTCTCCTTTCCGTTTTGTATTGCATTTTTATTACTAGTTTCACATGGATTTCGTCTTTTTAAAACCTTTTATTACAAATGCAAGATATATATATATGAACGTTTTAGCATGTATATGGAAGATGAGAGAAATACGGTCGATAGATTTTTATTATTCACAATATTTGTTATTTATATACGTTTGTTTTTGTTTCGCCTCGGCTTATATATATATGTATATATTCCCCCTTAAGCATTCTCAAACAAGTTAAATTTACATCCACACTGGTTTTCATGTAAATATAACTAACTATTATAAACAACTTTTCAGAGAAATTGGTTGATGATCGCACTAAATCACGAATTGATAGAAGTTAGAATTCATTTTCTGGCCATTGAACCGGATCTCAGTGCCCGAATGGTATACGAGCCAGTTTGCCTTGTAACCAGAAAGTCCTGGCTTCGAACCGCATTCTGCAGCTGATTCCCTAAACTAGGATAAAACTAATTGATTAGGAGGAATATTTACTGATGAATAATAACAAGTCTTTGTGTTGCATCATCGGTAGTTTGATGTTGGAATATTGTATTGGTCAACCACCTATGAGGTCCATGTTCGATTCTCGGACGTCGATACACTTTCAAATTTCGCTTAGCCCGTACTAAGTTCGGTAAAGAATGAAGGTTGGATGTGTGATTAACAGCTCCATCCTTGAAGAACAGAACAACACCATCGCTGCTGTGACTTCAGAAACTAAATTATGTTCCATATAGAACGCAAAGGACTGCAAAAAATGTTGAGAAGAAGAGACAGGTATATCACATATGAATATCTGAGGGTGTCTTTGTCTGTGTGAAATCATGAATACACTCTCAGTCAACTTGGCTTACTTTGTGGTCAGATTTTCGTTCCCATTTTAATCAATAAAAGCCTACTGTAAACTCACATTAAACGACATAACTTTTTAATTGAATGTTACATTTTCCCGTCGATTGATTGAACCGAATTGCTCGGTCTCAGGTTGTCATGTCGGCTTCTTGTGCAGACGCTTCGACGATGTCTGGGCATGTAGTTGGAAGTCAGTTGGTGGATGATGACTAGCAGTGGAATCCAAGATGCGCATTTCGTCCTATTTGGGACTCGTCCTACAGTTGGGGATGTATCTGCATCCCCCAGTGAGTGATGATATTCCCACCGAGGTTCGAACCCAGTGGCCATAGTCTCAAACGCGTCAACCTAAGACCGAGCACTTTGGTCCAATCAATCGACGGAAAAATCTAAAATTAAATTAATATGACCTGTTGCATAATAGGTGGCTCTTGTGGCCCAAGTGGTCAAGTGGATAACTCTTTGGTGTTTGAAACTATGGGCACTGAGTTTGAGCCTCATTGGGAATATCATCACTCACTGAGAAATACAGACACATCCAGATGACGAGTCTCAAATGGGACTAAATCCGCGTTGTCCTGGATTCCATTGCTGGTCACCATCCACCAATTGAAGACATAACTTAAGTTATTCATGTGTACGGTGATCAATATTTAGGAAGTAGACATATGTCAAAACTGTATTTGTAAAATCTCAGTAAAATTGAAATAAGTTATTCCAACATTTTGTTTATAAAACTGGTCCGAACTTCTTCAAGAAATTTACAGAAATTGAAATAACCAGGGTATCTACAAATGGTCTTTAAAATCCCTGTTCAATCACATGAGTCATGAACAGACCTCAAGGTATAATGAACAAAACTGCATAAACTGTGATCAAAATTTTGACCTCAGACTTACAAATATTACCCCACTCTTGTTAAACACTTTAAACATATTCATATTCAGTTATCATTGACTATGAACTTAAGTCGAACGCAATCACTAAAAGTTTGATGCAAACGTACACACTGTTTACAATGCTTAACGAAAGCAGACTAATTAATACAAGTCTGTAGGCAAGTTTTGATTTCACTGAAGAAGTTCTGACCAGATTAATGAACAAAACATGGGACTTACTTAAATCAGTTTCTCTGACATTTAAGAAAACATCGTTGAAGCATCTGTACAAGAAGCCGACATGTTAACCTGAGACCGAACACTTCGGTTCAGTCAGTCGACTGTAAAATCTAAAATTGAGTTAAATAATTAATATGATCCTTTGTTCAAGAGGTGGCTCTCGTGGCCCAAGTGGTCTAGTGGATAATGCTCTGGTGCTTGAAACTATGGGCGCTCGGTTCGAGCCTCAGTGAAAACATCATCACTCACTGCGGAATGCAGGTACGTCCAGGTGATGAGTCCCAAATAGGGCGAAATGTGCGTTATCCTGGATTCCACTGCTAGTCATCATCCACTGGTTCATAGCTGCCATTCGTTTAAGTTAATTTGAATTTCTCGTTGGTTGACTTATATTGACGCAAAATAGTCGGTATGTGTTGACATGTTGGCTCCTAGTAAGAACGCTTCGACGATAACTTTTGGTTAACGTCATGTCATTTTCTAAATGGTAGCTAACACTGCAATCTAGAATGCTCAGTTCAAATTAATTTAAATTAACTTTGAGAAATGTCATCTGATAGTCTTTCGTTGTGGTTGTGTTTTTCTCACTTCGGTGGTTTAACTGCGAAGCCTTAATTGTCTTCTTAGACAAAGTCATCGGCGCGTGCACTTGTCTAAAGATACCATAAAGGCCTCACAATTAAGCCACCTCACCCAGAGAACAAACAAGCACATTAAAACCATTCAAGTAGACTACAAATTTTTTCGATTATTTCGACGGATACCTGTTGGACAAGAGGTGGCTGTCGTGATTCGGTAGCCCTGGTGAATAACGGTTTGGCATTTGAAACTATGCATGGGTTCTAGGTTCGAATCTCAGTGGGAACACCATGACTCACTCAACTGAAGAGTCCTAAATGGAATGAATTCCAGTGGTATTCGCCATTGCTTAGCTAGCCAAAAAGACATTTCTTTCTGTCCACTCACCGACTACTACAGAAACACTAGATATTTCCTGTTGAACTGCAATAAGTTTAAAAGTAAAACAGTAAATGTCATTGTTGATATTAGATGGTTGAAAGCAATCAGACACAGGAAGCCTTGCTTGACCTAGGTTTCGTGCTCGTTGGCACTTATCAGCAAGGCGTATCTGCAACCGTGAAGGAACTCATGTCCCTTCTGAGATTCAAACCCGCGTCACCCAGCCACTAGCACGAAACTTAGGTCCAAGGCTTGCTGTAGTCGATTCCCTCCAACCATCTAATAACAAAAATTCACAGTGCACTGTAATAGCGAGCCACCTAGGGCATGGTGGCCACATTGCAAGCTTGACTGATAGAATTCAGTCTGCAGCGAAGATAAGACTAGACACATTACACTAGTTACTGACTAGTGTGCAGTCAAAAAAGTAAATGTCATACTTGTAGTCAAGTCATTACAACATTGGATATGTATAGTGTACCGGTGATTAATGCTTCAAACTCATGACTATCGATACCTTAAAAATAGGCCAATCGATTAAGTATTTTAAACACGACAGCACTTTCTATTCATTCTGGTGTATAAACTATCACTGAACAAACGATTCATGCATCTTTTGAAGTAACTTTATCAATGGCCAGCATTATAAAAAAAGGTTAGTTGCACAAATTTGACACTGAGTCATTGGTTACTCAGTTACGTAAACAGAACTAATTAGAACAAATCCAATAACTCCTAAATATTTCAGCTTCATTCTGTGTAGACGACTCAGAGTTTTACAGATAAGTTAGAAGTGATTTAATGGATCTCACTGTATGACTGCCTATCAACAAGTGTTGTTGGGTAGTCAATGAGTTTGAACTCCTGTTAACTGAGAATAGGCTTTTAACGATTCATAATCCACCGTGGATTTTAGTTTATACTTGTTATAAAGAATTCAGTGATACAAAGGATTATAAAACCGTAAAATGTTTTGATCCACTGTAGAAAATGATTATTCCAATTTTGTCTATCCCTTAATCACTAGCTCTACAAATGAAATATTTACACCATAGAGGATCTTTTCTAAATAAAACGCTATATGCTGAATCTTGCTGTTACTCACAGACATCCATTAAAAGAGGTTGTTTATTTCGTTTGCATTTTTATGGAGTTTTTGTTGATTTCATTACTCATATGAAAAAGAGAAGACGTTCAGGGAAGAGACTCTTTCATTCACATAGCTGTACAATCACATTTATATATATAATTATTTGTGTTTGTACATGAATTTTGTCAAGTTTAGATAATTGATGAGGTAATACAAGAATGATCTAATATAGAAACAAGGTTAATCAGACAGCAACTTAAGTAAGATTGAGTTAGTAAGTTAGATAACGTAATATAATTGACGAAAACCGACAAATTGGCGAAAGAAGCAGCCGGCGAAGACAGGACTCCAGGTGAACATAGACAAGACGGAGGTTATGAAAATAACCAACCACCACCAACAACAACAGCAGCAGCAACATCCAGTGCCAATCACCATCAACGGGAGGGATTTAAAAGAGGTTATTTCATTCGCTTATCTAGCATTAAGCATTGTCTCAACTACAGGAAGTCGGAACGGACGAGGATGTCAAATCGAGCGAGAATCGGGAAGGCGAGTGAGAAACACATTCATCAACCTGAAACTAATCTAGAAATCCTCGTCACTCAGCCAGCATCAACAACAAAATTCAATCGGATTTTCAATATAAACGTCAAGTCAGTCAGTTGTTTTATACGGACCAGATCAGAAACTTGTCGGGCGGGTCACAAAGAATATTTCCAACAGGCTATTGCAGACCTTCATCAACAACTGTCTTCGGTGGCTCTATACCGAAGATCAGATGGCCGGGCCGGAAAGAATCACCAACAAGAAACTATGGGAACAAACAGAAAAAACAAGAACCAATCGCCAACCAACAAATATGCAGGAGAAAGTGGAGACGGATGGATTGGACACTCACTCGCTGAGGAGGCCGCCGCTGGATGAGATCGCGCGTGCGTCTGGCCATTTCTCGAGTGGAACCAGGCCGAAAGGGAAGCGGCTGGTGGGACGTCAGTGCAAAGGTGACATGGAGGAGATCGTGCGAAGAGAGAGGAGTTGAAAGAGTATGAACTTACATGGATGGAGGTGAAAAGTACAGCAGAAGGATGACAGAAGCAAGTGGATACGTGCAGTTGAAGCCTTATGTTCCACTAGGAACCCAAGGGAACAGTAATAAATAAATAAATATAACTGATTAAAATGTCTCAACTTAGGTCAGGGTAGCAACAGAGATAATTACAGATAGAGACTAAGTAGAGTTGGGGTAGAGAATAATGCCATTTTATTACTTTTAGGACTAAAACCGGGCTTCATACTTCTTTGAAGTAGTTGGGTGGATGGTATTTTGTCCCATTTTAAACTCGTCAGTCAGATTTGCTGGCATTCCTCAAGGAGTGATGGTGTTCCTATTGAAATTTGAATCTAGTAGCCATCCTTGCAAGCATCAGTGCGTTACTCGCTAGACCACTTAGACCACGAGATGCACCCCTTGCGCAACGGGCATCACCTATTATTTGTACAGTTACCTGTACCCACCGAATTACTTGACGTCGATCCGAAAACATCATCAAAGCGTCCGTACTAAGATGCGACGCTGAATGTTTCGGGAAAGTGGAAATAGACTTCGTTACTTAACCGATACTAGATAACAACTTGACACTTCACTAAATAGGTAGAATTTAGCTAGATGGTTTTCATTCTTAATGATTACTTGATGAGTTAACCAGTTTTCATGGATAACTTAATAATGTGTTTGTTGTCTTTGTACAGTTTTATCTACTGTCTCATCATATATCCACCCACCTATCCATCTATCTGTTATCCTAGTTTTTTTCCACATTATATTATCAAGTTTGCGTGTATGTGTTTGTGTGTGGGTATCCATTCGTCAAATATGTAATATCGTTTTCACCAACACCTGGAATAGTAGTGTATTGTGTTCGCTCATGGTAAAGTGTGCGCTCAAATTAACAAATAAACAAATATATAAACCCTTTAGATCAATATCAGTGAATAAGTGTTATTTTTTCTTTACTTTTGTCATTACGTCAACATACGAGATGCTTTCTTTCATATTCCTTTGTTTGTTTTTGTCGCCTCAGTAGCAAAATAGTGAGATATTATATATTACCTAACCATGCATGCATATTATTTATTCATTTTCAATGTCTCTTGTGTATAATATATGCTTCTCCTGCCGTTGTCGTTTTTTATAATCATAATTTTACTTTTTTATTTTGCTCCTCGTTAGACTATGGCAGTACAAAAACGTAATATGGGCACGGCTAGTGCAAATTTGATTACTCGACAGTCTATCAATGATGAAGAAATGGTATGCCATATTAGTTAGTGATTTATCAATATTAGTCTACAAGTTTTCTGCGTTCTAGTGAATTTAGTTTTTATTCTGTGTGTGCATCAAAGTCACTTTTTTTATGAATTATTCGGTCTTATTGATATTTTGATAGTGATTATGCTTAGAAAATGCGTTGGTGGTTCAGTGATAGATTACTCACCAAACACGCATGCAATCCTGGGTTCGTCTCCTGGCCAATGAACTCCTAAACCTAGTATAACTGCAGTAAGACTGTAAAAGTGGGAGGGTTGGATGGAAGGCTGTAAAAATAAAACTGCTGCTACTGAAACTTCGAAGCTGAAGCTTGAAACTCTATCTTCCAATTGGAACGCGAAGAAATAAGATAATAAATAAAGATAATACTTGTATAGGAACCATGTACTATGATGACTAATAGAACTGTTGTCTAAGTGCTCTGTCAAAGAATAACAATCTACTGATACAAGGAAAATGACTATATACATTGAATATCTGATCAGTGTGGCATACTTAAAGATTAAGATTTCGCACTGAGTATACAACAAAATATTTTTACTTAATTTTCTCCCTGTTCAATGTGTGATATAAAGCAGATCGTATAAGGTGGAGGTGGAAGCCTTTAAGCAATCGTAGAGCCAGCTAAAGATGACTACAAAGAACAGGATGAAACGGAGACCTTTTGTTAAAGCCCTCTGTTCCACTTGGAACTTCAAGGAATAATACTAATAATTTAATTTAATTTTAGATTCTCCTGTAGACTGATTGGACCGAAGTGCTCGGTCTCAGGTTGACATGTCGGCTTCTTTTGCAGATGCTTCGATGATGTGTGGCCGTGTAACCTTAAGTCAACTGGTGAATGGTGACTAGTAATGGAATTCAATAAGCGCATTTCGTTCTGTTTAAGACTCGTCAGGTGGATTCACCTGCATTCCCCAGTCAGTGAGTGATGATGTTTTCACCGAGGCTTAAACACAGTGCCCAAAGTTTCAAACTCCAAAGCGATATCCACTAGACCACTCGGGCCACGAAAGCTACCTCTTGTGCAATGTGTCTAGTGAATAACGCTTTGGCATTTGAAACTATGGGCACTGGGTTTGAGCCTCAGTGGGAACACCATCACTCACTGGGGAATGCAGGTACGTCTACACGACGAGTCATAAATAGGATGAAATGCTCGTTATCCTGGATTCCACTGTTAGTCACCACCCACCAACTGAATAGTAATTAAACAATAATTAGCTGTCAACCATGTCGACTATGTAAGATTATTCACCACTTTCCATATATTTATTATTTCTCATACACTTTTACTTTTGCTACTAAGTAACAATAATCTCTAACCTTTGGTGTCAATTAACACTGTGTATACAAACTCTTAAATAACTGTACAGCTTTAAAGTAAATTTCCAGAAACAGATCTCTTTGCTGACTGACTTATGTATTCCCTGATTACCTTCTCAGGAAAGATTAAAGTTTTTGTTAGGGTTTGAAGACCTAAATAGTTACATGCATAGAATGTTGTTAAATTACTCTGTTGATATAAGAATAGAACTTGTGCACTGTGGTAGAACATAAAAAAAGAGCATAATTCCACTATGGGTAGAATTTATTTTGATAAATTCTCAGTGTTATACTGTAACATGCACTGGTGACTTTTCGAGCACAATGCATTGCTCAGTAAATATAACTGTATAGCACTATAGTGTTTTGAAACTTTATCAAGATAAATTTTACCCACAAAGGAATTATACTCTGTTGATACACCAAACCAAAAGTGAGAGCTATTTTTATCATATGTGACAGAAAGGTATCCTCTGTAACACTTTTCTACAGTTTATATGCATTTTTTTCATAAACACATGTATTCCACACACACAAAAATGCCTCCTTCACGTGCTTGGTGCGTTCGAGGTCATTGACCCATTGGTAATTAGTGGTGCTTAAAGTTTAACTTTTCCTAAACTGGTATATAAATTAGCACTCACTCGACTTCAAGAATGTTAAACAAAGTTTGTATATAATTCACCTACTTTATAAAACATGCTACAATTGGTCTTCTAATCGTGTGTGTGGATCCCTTATAAGAATAACCCTCACTAACCGGTGTATATTATGACGTCAGTGAAATCTAAATTTCTCCCTTCTTCTTCCTCAAGATAGATTTTGGAGTGCAGTTGATTTACATTCTTACATTCTTAACTGTCAGTTAGATTACTACTACTAACATTTTTATGCTACAGTGACTTTGAAAAACATAATATATTTTTTCACAAATTAATTATTTATTTCCTTGATAAGAGAATTTCAATGGCACTTTTACCCTAGAGATTATTCCAAATATTCTTCATAAATAAATGAAGATTAAAAAAGCCGGTTTTTGACAGAAGTAACACCGTTTTGAAGTTGTTATTTTTTTTAACACTTTTGATGTATCACTTACAGGAGTTACATCTTATAAAGATTTCAGGTGTAAATATTCTCACCACATTATTTTAGCTGTAAGCAAAACAATTCTGTCGCATACCCCTTTTTTGAGCTAACTGGTAGACAGGATTTCGATAGACGTATATTCTGATGTAACCGTACTAGATGGAATGTTGTGGCTGTGGCTTCATCTCACTGAATTAGATATCTATCTAATTACCCTGTATGTAAACTGTGTTGAGAGATTAGCAGTATTTTTCAGTATTATTATGATGACATCATCTAACCACCATATGCATATATATATAAATGAAAGGGTGGGAGGGTTTTGAGTAGAATTCACCCAGGCCAGAGGAGAGACAAAAGTAGATCTTTTGTATGCAAAGACTAGGATTGTTCTCTCGAATTCCCATACCTTCGGCTAAGTGTAAAAGACGGGTTCGAATTCCGTTCGAAAGGCTCGATGGAATGTGATAGATAACTTTGAAGGCACTATTTTTGTCTACTTGGTGACCGCTGTCAATCAGATGGGCCAAAATAGAACTTCTTATAGATTTTATTTGACCTTTTCCGAACCATGAAGGAAGATGCTCATTAATGCGTTTGTTAAGCTTTCTAGTTGTTCGCTCTATATAGCAAGCTCTCTCCACAGAAGCAACTAAATTTGTAGATACGTATAGAAGTGGCACAGCTAGACAGCTTGTCTTTCACTTGAGCGATCATAATTGTTCGGCTGGAAAATGACAAACAAAGGATGGCGGCAGTATAAGTCCGTTTTATCCCCCTCGATAATCTCAGATGTAAGACTTCGCCAGCCACAGGGGATTTGAACCTAGGACCTTCCGGTTACAAGGCAAGCTGATATTATACCATTCAGCCAATGGGACCCAATTCAATGGCCAGCACATGAATTCTAACTTCTATGCATTCGTGATTTAGCATGACGACCAACCAATGTCACTGGTGAGAAATCCACCCTCACTCCCAACTGGATGGACCTCAGTGGTCATGACTTCTCACTACATGTATACGTTTAAAATAAGCCATGAATTTAACCACTTATCCATCAAATTCTTAAAACAAGACATATAAACAAACAATATTTGTTTTCAGTTAGATCTTCCTCAGGCTTCAATGTAATGTACACAGCTTTATTTGTAAAGGTTTAACCAGTGACGATGAGTCTATAGATCGAAAAAAATGCGTTAAGTGTTTTGAACGCCATTTATAACGATGACGATTATAATGATAAGATTATTGATAACAAAGTCAATGATAAAAAAGTACAGAAAGTTTATACAATTAGCTATAACAGCAACCGAGGTAGTATGCTTAAATAAACAGCTTAGTAAATGATTTAAGTCAAATCTTAAAAGTTACGCAATACTAAAACTGAATCGGATAAATAATCAGAGTTTAAATCAACACCATTGATTCAGAATTTGTCTAGACCAAGGGAGCAAGTTCTAAAGGTTCGACGGAATACGATAGATAACCTAAAAGGCAGTTCTTCTGTCCACTTGGTAACCTGTGTCATCAATCAAATGAAATGAAACAGAGCTTCTTCTAATGAATCTTTCGGCTTTTTACCAACCATGAAGGAAGACGCTTAGTAATGCATTTGTTGAACTGTCTAGTTGTTCGTCTCATAAAGCTTTCTTTACAGAAGCAGCTAAGTTTATAAATGTACAGGCAGCTTACCTTTCTCCGAAGCAATCATAATTGGTTGGTTGGAGAAAGAGGAAGAGTGTTGGCAATACAGATCTGTTTTATGGCTCTGGACAAACTAGGATTATGTGTCTTGTTTTTAATCATAACAATCGGAATACTTAATGATATCAACATCTTCCACAATAGATTATCGGTACGAATGAGGACAAATATTTGCCGATGACATTCGCTAGTGGCCATGCCGTATTGTGAATTGACAGAAGTCGGAATTTATGGACCATTGCATAGGGTCCCAGTGGCGTGATGGTCTACGACCTTGCCTTGTAACGAGAAGGTCCTGGGTTCGAACTTCAACAGGTGTGTACTGATGAAGAATATCAAACTTGGACGAAACACCTGTCCAGTACTCCCAGGTGGTTTCCCAATGGTCCTCTAACAGGTTTCGGCTCATTTTGAAATCCTGAAACCAATAAAATCCCTGCAAACCAACACTTGAACAAAAACTCTGAAATGAGAGCTCTGTTTATTTGGATTTCATACATCTCATTGTGACTGATATGTGGGAAAAAGTGTTGAGTGTAACTCAGGCATAGAGTTACTAAATGACTTTACTGATTTGTATATATCGTTCAAAAGACTTTTATTCCTTCCTTGCTTACCTATGTATTTATGTTAAGTAGGAGCATAAATAATGAGCCTACCTTACCATTGTAGTAAAACTATCCTAAATACTCTTTTAGACACTGAGATTTCACATTATTATTCAGTTGATTTACTTTTTATTATTTTATTCAATTTTAGAAACAACATGTTTATAAGAAAACCTTACAAGCCCTACTCTATCCAATATCAAGTAATACACCACATAACTTTCAAGTATGGACTGCTACTAGTCCTACTTATTGTTATGAATGTGAAGGCCTTCTATGGGGTTTAGCTAGACAAGGTCTACGTTGTACAGAATGCGGTGTAAAATGTCATGATAAATGCCGGGAATTATTAAATTCAGATTGTTTACAACGTGAGTTATTTAACTATCTCTCGCTTTTACCTATTCTATTATTTACTCGAAAGTAATATTTATTCAGAATTCTCTGCTAGTCTGTTTAAAATATTGTGTAATATTGATTTTCATTATTTTGTTTAATGATTATTTTATTCCTTTAAGTTCCCAGTGGAACATAGGGCTTCAAGGCAAAGCTTTGAAGTTTATGTAGCAGTGGTATCTGTTTTTAAGGGATGGGGTTGCTAACCTCATGGCGAACCTTCCCTCTTTACCAGTCTTCTTACTGGCTTAACGAGGTAAAAGAGTGCGTCGGTGGCGGGGGATCGAACCCAAAACCACATGAGGCGTGGTTGGCGAGCATTCTGCCGTTGTGCCACCGACTACTCACTGTTTATTGATTATGAGGCTGTTTTTGTTAATCCGATTCGGAATACTGTTTTCCTTTTTGATTAAGTTGGCCATAGTTAAACTGAGTTGTTTCTTAAATCTTAGTATCGTTTTACAGACATCACCACCTAAAAAAACGTTGCTATGTCACCGTCGTAAATTATTAATACTCGAAGCCACTTGATTCAGGTTGGTGTATCTATTACTGATAGCTAAATCCTCATTCTTATTGATAACACAGACTAAAGGAGAGTTTCATATATCTTTGAGAGTTGATTGGGTGGCTGATGAAATGTTTTCACTGACAGCTAACAAGTAATAGTTGAAATGAACTAGCGAATAATAATAATAATAATAGTAATAAAAAATGACTCAAAATTAAACTCAGCACAAAATGAATACACAAGCTTAATTGTAATAGACAGTCTTGTCCCAATGAGCAGAAAAATAAGTCTCATTGCCTCTCTTGAGACGTGAATCTGCCATATGTGCACTGAAGGCACATTGAATAAGGATTTGGAAACCTTCAGAAAAACCATAATCAATAGTGGATATCCAACCTCCTTCATCAACAAATATCTAAAGAGAAAGGTTGATACTCCGCGAAACCTGGATATGCCGAAGCATCAACTAACTATAAATCTGGAATTCAAGGGAGATACAGTTAGTGAAGTTTTCCGAAGCCGCCTGTCAAGAGTAATTTGAAGAACGTTCTTTGCTGCATCTCTACCTCTCACCTTCTCCACACATTCTCTTATTCACCAAAGCGTCAAAGACAAGATTGTGCTATTGGCAACTTCCACATACACTTACCTATTCACTTGCTTCTGTGGAGCTAAGTAAATAGGCCATAACAGCAGGATATAGTCCAGAGGCGTCCACGAACACTTACGAGCATGGTTATCAGAAGGAGAAAGCAACAGTGCCAGCAACTCAATCCTGGAGTTGTTAGAAAGGATTTCACCTACATCTGATTCATGCAGCTGAAGCCTTAAGCAACCCTTGAGGAGAAACCCGAGCTCCGTGTTGAGAAACGTTTTATCCATACTCTTTTACTGTCATAGTCTTAATAACTCTTTTCTCCTTCTTTGTATTCCTGATTAACGGTATAATAAGTCCTGCCTAGTCGGTTTTGTCTTTTTCCAACTCTTTTATGATCTTTTGTTCTCTTCTGTGTTACCAACTATTTCCAAACGACTACTATTCACCACTCAACTAATTAATTTTCAACCCTTTTGATTATATAAAACTATTCTTAATTTTTCAAACATGGTTACCACTCATACACTTTGTTTTGCTTTGTTACTAACTAACGACAACCTTTGACTCCTGCTGTTAATTTTCATTGAATATATAAACCCCCGTAAATAATTGTACAGCTCTGAAATGAAGTTACGAAAAGAGATCTCTTTACTGCCTGGTGTGTTCTTAATAAATGCATACATTATTAGTTTAAGCTAACCGTAGCAGTTTCAACTATACTACTTCAAATACACTGAACAATATGTTTTAAACTGCATAAGAAATTTTAAGGAATGGTATTTTACACACAGTAAATCAGCTACGGTATAGTTCCTGTTTGTAACCTTTTGCAATGACATATTTATATGAATAATACTAAAAAGTAGGTTTAAACATCTGCAAATTAGTCATTGTACGAAAATCACTGCTGCAGTGTTATCCCTAGTGGACTTGGTGATATGGCGATTCTGTGTTCTGTGCTATACTCTAGTTCGACATTAAAAGTTAGAAATAATTAAGAATTCCCAGACCATTACAGGTCTAAGTCTCTAACTTCCATACAGCGTGACAAAGTATCGAATGCTATAAAAAATAAGAATCTTCTCAGGACTGCAGATGCACAGTGCAGTTAAGTACCGGTGTGGCGTAGTTCTACTGATAAGATTTGTCAGTAGTATATAAAGAGATGTTAATCGGTATAAAAACATCACACAGCAGGGAGATAAATTTGATATCAGAGAAAGCAAACGATACAGCGTTGCGGAAATGAATGGGAGAAATGAAAAGAGCACAGAGAAACACAATAGGCAGTGGAACAGAAGTAGCACAACACGGAAGGTCTGTGGAGAAGGTGATTTGAAGATAAGGTGTACCTAATTTCGCTACATAGAGATACTAGACACCAAGTCTGTCGTCTTCTACCTTTACACCGATAAGCACGAAAGCTAATTCCATTGCAATGTAAAAAGTTGTAATTGTAAGTTATTTAATCTGTCACTAAGTTACTGGTAATGACTGATTTTAACTAATCCAATTGTTCTTAATGACAAATAGTGATATGAGTTCTAGTGAGGAGTTGTGACTAGTGAGGTCCATCTAGGCGGGTACGAGGATGGATTTCTCGCTGGCGACATTGGTTGGTGGTCGCGCTAAATATCACGAACTGGTAGAAGTGGACTGGTTATTGAGTCGGGTCTCAATGGTTGAACGGTCTACGAGCTTGCTTTGTAACCGGAAGACCCTTGATTCGAACCCCAGCAGGTTTGTACTGCCAATGAGTCCGAAACTAGGACGAAACAGTTGGCTACCCAGTACTCCCTGGTTTTCAGTGGTTCTTGAAGTGATATCAATCCGTGGTCTAACTCTAAAAATAAACTAAATCCTTAAAAATCAACTCGTGAAAATGACGTTTTTTTTTTATTACAGCTTGATACAAGTATGGAATTTTCAGCGTGGATATCGGTAGCCCAAAATTCGCAGGCCAACCATAGATATCAGGTGTACGTCGGCGTGGGCTCGAACCCCGGACCATGTGCATGGTCGGCGAGAGTCCTAACCACTGTGCCACCGACGACATGTTTTGAGATTATCTTTGAGAGTAGCTCTGAAATAACCACCATTCGAGATGTTTTTGAGTAATGAAAACACTATTGGATACAAATGATTCTCAAAAAATATATACAAATCTGACTGGTAATATTACACAAGTTCCTAGATATTGCGTTGTCATTTTGATGTGAATCACATGAAAGCAGTTCATTCATTGCACTGAACCCTTTATTTTAATACTAGTGGGACAAGTTGCCTTTTACTATGACTACGGTGCCGCTGGAACCTTCACTCTGATTAATTCAGTTCTAAACCGTATATTTCACTCTCTGATGAAGTAACTTCCTCAAAACTAATAAAACATGACTAGTTTGGTGGAAAAGAAGAGACTTATTGTAGCCACTTCAGTATGTCCCCTCGCTGAAAACTTTAAACCTTTCAAATAACTTCTTCACTCTCTTGTTCTTATATTCTTATTCATTCATATTTAGGTGCTGCTGAAAAGTCTGCTAAACAAGGCGCTGCAGATAAAGCTCAAACTATTATGCAAGCAATCAAAGCATTAATGTCACAAAGAATTAATGAAATGCCTGAATTATTCGATTTACTTGGTTTAGTATTTAAAGTGGATAGTAAAACTCACGAACGGAATCTTCTTCAAGCTGAACAAAGTATACTTGATGGTACTAGTAAATGGTCAGCAAAGATTGCAATAACAAGTGAGTACAACTAAAGGATAAAGCGTATCATATTTCATCGTATTTCTGCCCAAAACACGGTGTTAATCAAATGAATTTAGCTTTTATATCGTCAGAAACTTAAATTTATTGCCACGTTCCAATGCGTTTACCAGTTTACCCACATAAGGACAACCCATCGTTCCCTTCAGGTTGAGGCTTCAGAATACATTCCTAACTGGTGAAAAGAACCATTGAAATCGCCTAATCCAATCGGCCCTGGGAATAGATACCTAACGTCACATATCTCATACTGGAATCATTTCCATCTGTTGAATGGTCAACGGAGTCGCCTAGTAGCCTGAAGGTCCTGGGTCCAATCTTCGGTAGAGTCATTGCGGCGTACTGATGAAGAGCCTCGAATTGGGACAAAATGGGTGTCTGATTCTCCGTGGTTCTTAATAGTCCTCCAACTGAGATTAGTTCGTAATCGAATTTGAAGTATAGTTCTTTATTTTCTCTAGCTTTTAATAAAAAAAACTCATGCCTCCAATTTGTATGAAGGCGTTAACCTACACCGGCGCATCTAAATCACGCAAATCAAATAATAAAACCACAGTAAAACATCATGAATTGATTTGGTAAAATCTTGTTTACATTTGTTAACAGAATGCTGTTCCGTTCGTGGAAGTCCTTTATTCAGTGCTTTGTGGGTGAAACCGTCGTCTAAATTTATGCCTAGGGATAATAAGGTCATGAACAACTTTTAAGTCATAACAATGTTAGGAATGTTTTATTATCTACTAAAATAAGATCAGCAGTTAGAACGTCAGAAAGCCATTGGTTTGCGAAACGTTAACCATTTTCTGTCATCACTGCTACAATCTGTTAGTAAATGAAAGTACTATCATCAAATAGAACAATTTGGAAACCATGGGTAATACACTGAGACTTTGTACATCTACTTTACTGAATGTTCCATAGCCAGATAGTAAGGGTTCTTTTTTGTCCATTCCTTTACGTTCTAAATGGAACAAGCTTTGAAGTTCAAGTGATAGTGTTGTCTTTTTGTGCTGAGGTTGCTGGCCTCGCACGCAAAATTCCTTCCTTTATAAAATTACTACAGGTTGGTTAACTACGTGAGGTTTAGGAGTGTTTCAGCCTTGAATCGAACCCCAGACCTTTTCTGTGGCCAGTAAGCATCTTTCCAGTGAATCACTAACCCGCTGATTGATTTCACTTCGTGATAAGACCCACTGTAATATAACGTTTTCATGTTTTCTAAAGAATGACAAATTTGTTAAAAAAAAAGCTCATTATCTTTGAGGTCATCATTAGTTATCGTTCCCTTAGTTGGTAAGATAGTGAAGCTGTCTTGTCATATTAGTCAATTCAGTTTATTGTTCAACTTTGTTTAACTTTCTTTCAATTTATTTATTTAAATTCTTCCAGTTAAATGTGCTCAAGGTTTAATAGGTAAAGATAAAACCGGTACAAGTGATCCTTATGTAACTGTGCAAGTGGGGAAAGTTAAAAAGCGTACAAAAACAGTTCCTCAAGAATTAAATCCAGTTTGGAATGAGAAATTTTATTTGTAAGTCAGTTAATATGTTATTATTTTTATAAAAAATACATATTTCTTCTCTTTCTCAATGAAATGAATGTATACAAACTAGTGTCATTCGTCTAGTCCTTTGTTTGGTGTAGAATGAATTCTATCAGTCATGTTTACAAGGCGGTGTCCATACTAAAATTCGGCCTGCATGAAACAAAGGACCTACCATTGACAGTAGTTACTGTTTAGTGTCCAGTCATAATATCCAGTGCGGTCCTACGTATCTATCTATCTATTATTATTGTTCCCTTGGGTTCCTAGTGGAACATAAGGCTTCAACTGCACGTCTCCACTTCCTTCTGTCTTCCTTCTGCTTTACTTTTCACCTCCATCCATGTTAGTCCACACTACTTCAACTCCTCTCTCTTCACACCATCTCCTCCATGTCACCCTTGCACTGACGTCCCACTCGCCGCTTCCCTTTCGGCCTGGTTCCACTCGAGCAATGGCCTGACGCACGCGCGATGTCACCCAGTGGCGGCCTCCTCGGCGAGTGAGTGTCCAAGCCATCTATCTCCACTTTCTCCTGCATATTTGTTGGTTTGCGATTGGTTCTTGTTTTTTTTGTTTGTTCCCAGCCATTGTTTCTTGTTGGTGATTCTTTCCGGCCCGGTCCGGATATCTGATCTTCAGTATAGATCCAGCGAAGACAGTTGTTGATGTAGGATGCAGGTTTGCAATAGGCTGTTGGAAATATTCTTTGTGACCCGCCCTCCAAGTTTCTGATCCGATCCGTATAGAAGAACTGACTGACTTGACGTTTATATTTAATATTCTGTATCCGATCTTTGTGTTTATTACGCTTTGTAATTTTGTCAATTCTAAGTCAGTAAAAATGATCAGTAGAGATGTAATTTAACAACCAGTCATGACAGTGATTGCCAGGAGATTCAATTACATCATCCGTACTAAAACCTGCACTGAAGTGATGTTGTCTAGATGGGGAACAACGAAAGCTTCGCAATTGAACCATCAAACAGATCACAGAATACAACTAACTCAAACCGGTTTCTTTTTAACTAGTTGCTTTATAACACACATATGTAACACATATCTTTACTCCCATCAGTAATAAATAGCTTTCAACATAAAAACAAGCCTCAAATATTCTCTCCATGATTACTTTTGTAACGTTTTCAGTAGTTACCTCTTTTTTTTCTGTATAATTTAGACTGCTTTATTTTAGTTTTGTTCACTTATTAATTTTTTTTGTGTGTTTAATATAACCAAATGTGCTGTCTTTTCCATTTCAGCGAGTGTCATAATGCTTCCGATCGGATTAAAATTCGAGTGTGGTACGTTATCATTTATGCATAGATTAAAGTTACTACGATATATATATATTCTTTCCCATCTAAATAGCTATTAATAATGAATGGAACTTCGTAATCGACAATAATACCAGTGTAGTAATAATTGTAGCGTAATTATCTCCGGATTCTATGCAATTATCTCTTTCTAATTTACGTGGAGGTTGAAATTTGATATTACCGGAAGTAGTTATAATCATTTCGTCATCCTCGTTTTTCTAAAATAGCCACTTTTAAGTCTCCAACGTCTGTGTCTGCACCTAATAATAATAATAATAATTTAACCCTATAGGCTTGCTGTCAATGGTTATAGGCAGACTTTAAGCTACTCACTGTGCTACATGATCAGAAATTGTTCTCTCCATGATATAACCATTATAGTTCACAGTCCCACATTGAAAAACTAGCGGTAAAAGGCATTTATATAAACAGAACTATGAGACGACTAGAACTGGGACAAATTTATGCGAATGCATTTAAACAGCTTATTATCATGCCATATATATATATATATATATAGTCACTAAATGGTCATTTATTTTTAACAAAGAATATCCCTAGCACAGACGACAGAAAACGATGTCTGTTTATCGGCTAATCAGACAATGCATCACGTTTTACCCCACCGACCTTTTATATGGACAAAATGTCGTCTGATGTGTGTGATTTATCAAATAATGATGATAATAATAGTAGTAATTCTAATAATAGCTATAAAAGTTATCGAATCTAACACGTATTGCTAAATTATTCCACCTAGAAACGCAAATGACTTTTCTTCTAATTCTAGTGGTCTTCTTATCGTAGAAACTAATTTATTGTAAAAAAAATAGATGTCTTATCGCTTATCAGATTTATAAAACTAGTTATGCTGCTAATGCTGGTAGCTTTAAATGAATGATATTCGGTAATGTATCTCCATGAACTGGTTGGGATTAAGCTCAAGGATGTTAAATGGGTTTTTTTTCTATTTAAGACGCTCCTTGATTGTATAATGGTGGGTATCTCAGCCTGTCTGGTGGAAGGTCCGATAGAATGCTTACTAACCAGGCCATATGGTCTAGGGTTCGATTCCTGGTCGATACATTCCTAAACTTCGGTTAATTGGCAGTAAAACTGGTAAAGAGAGAAGGTTGGGCGGAAGGCTATCCACCCCAGCGCTAAGTTCTACTAGGGACGCCAAGGAATAAAAACAGCGGGCCATCGACTGTGTAGATAATAGTTGATATGAATAATTTTAGCGTCTAACTGTTTATTTCATCCTCTGCTAGTTAGTATGTTTCAAACTGTACTGATTTGCGTCGGTGGCACAGCGATTAGGACGCTCGCCGACCACGTACATAGTCCGGGGTTCGACCCCCGGCCAACGACGCACTCCTTTACTTCGCTAAGCCAGAAATAATGTTGGTAAAGGGGAAAGGTTAGGCATGAGGCTAGCAAGCTCATCCTGTAAAAAGATGAACACTGCTACAGAAACTTCAAACCACTAGCTTGAGGCCCTATGTTCCACTGAGAATGTGAAGGAGAAAGGTACTGTACTGATAATACTTTAATTTAGCTATATTAAATGTATGGTTTTACTTACTAACTCAAAATAATCACTATTTCATTTATTTCCTATCCTTTTGTACACGTCCATCAATCGTATTATCATTGTCTTTATAAATATACAAAACTAACAACCTACACATGTAAAAACAAAATGTATCTATATATATAAATAAAGGGATGAAGATTATGATCTCAAGTCAAAAATACGCCAAAAGTTAACTCGTGAATCTGATGATTTTCTTGGTCAAACTATTGTGGAAGTTCGTACATTGAGTGGAGAAATGGATGTATGGTATAATTTAGGTAATCATCATGCCTCCAACTAGTTATTCCTCGGTGTTATCGTAAAAGTGGTGAATGAATTACATACATTCGTGTATACGTGACCATATATCTGTTTTATATGTATCTGCATTTATTGTTTTCCAACGTTTACAATAATTATATGTTAACTGTTTTCATATATATATTTTTCTCTGAATCAAGCATGCTTTTGTCCGTCATCATTCTAGGTAGCCTTTTTGAATTAGATGGATACATTATATGGAATATCGACACTAGTTATATCTGATAGTGAGAGGCAACCGTTAAAGTCATTCCCGTGAGAGCAAATCCGTCACAAATAGTTATGTAATAATAATAATAATAGTGATAACCTTAGATCAATCACTAAGGACGACAACAACTCGTATACATTATAAATTATTTAAATTAATCCCAGCGTGTTTAAGGAAATCAGCGAAATGTTCAGAAAACAGATCTTGTTTTGATTTCCTTAAACACGCTGGAATTAATTTAAATAATTTATAATGAATCAATCTGACTCAGCGCTCAAATTATTCCAGGAAGTTCGCAACATCTACCCACGGTCTGGAAACGTATAACAACTCGTATAGTTTCCTCATTTTGATAAAATTTTGTTTAATCTAATAATATTGTCAACTGTCTAATCTCGTTTCTTTTCTTTCTTTTGTGTTTTTTTTTTACAAAACTTTGCTGTTTGTTAAATAATACACAATATTGCTTGTTTGTGCTCACTATCTAACCCACAATAATAATAATAATAACCAATCACCATCACTGTGTTTTCTTTTGTTTTTAATTTCAATTTTTGTTCTAACCAATTACTGGTCCACCAAAACTTGACTTATTTATTTCACTGGCACAATCATCAATAAAATGTGCTTTCCATGTTGTTTCACTAATTAATGTTTTAATCACAATGCTTTTCACGCATTACTGACCCATTCTTCTGTTATAATTTTGCTTTTTTGCTAACCTATCTGTGCTTTATTTTTAATGTTCACTGGACTTTTTTTTTTAAATATATTTCGTTCTACACTTCATCCCTTCTTATCACCAATCTCTCTCTCCCTTTCTGTTTAATGATATAAATGAACTATGACCGTTGTCTACACTCACTTGTCATCGTCATCATCATAATTTTCACACTGCACCGTAAAATAATTCTCTTTTGATTTTTACTTTTGGTTCAAATCTGATTGTTTGTTTTTATTTTTGTTTTATTTTATTCTTTCTCTTTTTGCACCATGAATCTCTTTTTGTGTGTGTTCAACGTGTTATTCATATTATTGCGTCTTCCATGGTATCTGCTTTCCGGTCTGTGTCTGAATTGTTGTCGTCGTCGATATCTAGGGATGAAGATAATGATCTGCGGGCTAAACTCCGGTCAAAACTTACTTCAGAATCTGATGATTTTCTAGGTCAAGCAATTATTGAACTACGTACACTATCCGGTGAAATGGATGTTTGGTATAATCTTGGTATGTGTGTGCGTTTCTTATTCATACAAACTGACACGAAATGGCGGCCTGTTATTGCTTGTCTTTGCTTTGTATTATTCAAAACGGAGTAGTGTCATAAATGATAATTCTATAAACTAAATCACTGAAACTAATCTGATGCTCACTAGTGAGTAACTAACTGCCTAGAGGATAAAGTTGCCTGGAGCCCTTTCTTGTAACAAGTCGTCAGCAGTGGAATCCATCCAGTTGGAAGTGAGAACAAGTACTCCCCGATGACATTGGCCGGTGCAAGTTGCGCTAAACTCACGAATTAGGCTACTGAGTCACGTGCCGGTGACTGAATGGTCTATGAGCATGACTTGTAACCGGAATGTTCTGAGTTCAAACCCTAGAGAGTGAGCGTACCGCTGATGAGTCCCGGAATGGGACGAAACAGTGGTTTCCAATAGTCTTCTAACTGATATTGATCCTGTGCCAAACTTCAAGTAAATCAAATCCCTACAAACTAACTAATGACAATCATATTCTATATAATACTTACACATTTCTTCAATTTGTGGGTGAATTTACGTTACTATTCAGTTAACGAAAGAAAATTCATCTTAGTTTCATTACATCTCTTCATCTTGTTACATATTTGTTAAAGTACAGAGAAAACAAACAGAATATTCTTCAATAGTTTTCCTTAAAATGCTATAAACGCCTGAGACCGCTTAGTGTTTCCACGTTTCGCTGGGAACAAATACACTTCATGTTTTCTTAAACTTACCTCCTGTAGTTCTTTTTCAAAAAAATTGTTCCAACTTACTGTGTTATTAGACAGCTATTTCTCATTGAAACTCTCTTGGCTTGTGTCAGACCTTTATTCGGGTAATTTTCATGTACCTAGACACACATTCATGCCTTTTTTTCGTGGATTACTTTCAAGATATTATGGGTAAATTTTGTTTTGATAAAGTCTCACAGTGTGATACAGTGATGTTTACTGATGACCACATTTCCAGCACAATTTATTGCCCTGCTCATAATCATATCAAGCTAATCACACGACTTCCTAACTTCATTTATATAGTTCCATTAGTTTTCATTTGATTTGATTGGTAGTAGTATTTTCCATATTTCGGGTATGAGTGATGAATCATTTCTATTGTATGTGTTGGGTGTAGACTCGATGAACAAGGATTCAGTAATCAACCTCTATCTCTCCATGTTATAACTGTAATGAATTAAAGGAAGACGTTTTCACCTTGTTCTGTCTGCGCCTGAACTAATCTGCCTATCTGCTTGTCGTACCTTCCGATTTAGTAAAGCACGCAAATATCAAAAGACAAAGGCTGGACTGTGACTGTGTATTGAAGTGCAACAACGACAAAGAAAGCCATGGTATTTATACATTTTACAACAATATGGACAGCTAACAGCATTTGAAATAATTGATCTTAATAGCCAATAACAAAGTGCGTGAGAGATGATAATATACCATATGTGCGAGATTGACAGTCAATAACAAAATGTGTGGGAATGATAATATACCATATATACAAGATTAACAGTCAATACCAAAATATGTGGGATCCTATCACTACACCTACCTAGATTACTTTTTAGAATTTTAACCCTCTCCGATCCTATTGTGTGGTTGTATGTTCACGCTGACCTTTTTTCTATATTATTTATCTTCACTTGGTTAACCATTCTTACCTTAGCTAAATTCTTATGTTCCGACAATCTGACTACCCCCAACCTACTGGTTAGACCTATGTAGTTGACTCAACTCACAGTTATTGCAGGGTATTTTGTAAATTATATTATTTTGTCTAATTGGGTCAACTGGGTCCTTTAACCTACAGAGCTTGTCCCTGATTGAGTTTGTAGGTTTAAATGCTACGTAGGGTCTCAGATGTCCCCTCCTTATATGGTATAACAGTGGATGACTTATATTCTTTCTTATTTATGTTATCATTACTAGTTTCACAATTATTTTTATTTTGCTTTTGGCCTTTTTCGGTCTTCCTAATGAATTTTAACGGATAATTATTTAACACCAACGCCTCTTCTATCTGTTTCGTTTCATCATTTAGGTTTGTTGTTGTGCTACTTAGTGCTACTGGTCGGTTTGTTAAATACTTAACTAAGCCTGCCTTAACAGTTAACGGATGAGATGAATTAAAGTCTAAATATCTATTAGAATGAGTTGGTTTTGTGTACACACTAGTGTGCAGTTTACCTTCTTCTATTCGTTTTATTTTACAATATAACATGGCTAATTCTCCTTGTTCATTTTCCATTCAGCAATCGCAATGCATGCATTAACACACAACCACACAATAGGATGGGAGAGGGTTAAAATTCTAAAAAGTAATCTAGGTAGGTGGAGAGAGAGGTTGATTACTGAATCCTTGTTCATCGAGTCTACACCCAACACATGCAATAGAAATGATTCATCACTCATACCCGAAATATGGAAAATACTACTACCAATCAAATCAAATGAAAACTAATGGAACTATATAAATGAAGTTAGGAAGTCGTGTGATTAGCTTGATATGATTATGAGCAGGGCAATAAATTGTGCTGGAAATGTGGTCATCAGTAAACATCACTGTATAACACTGTGAGACTTTATCAAAACAAAATTTACCCATAATGGAATTACATTCTACCACAGTGTACAAGTTTTATTCTTATATCAATGATACTTTTAAGGCAGTTACTCTCCTCAAGCATCATCATTTGTACTTGTAGAGGAATAGATAAAATAGAGAATAGCAATAGTGAATAATATGACTAGGAAATACAAAACAGTGAACCAAATAGTCTCCATTAGAGAGAGTGTAGTTCTACGGAAGTTCATATTAGTCTACGCCATTATTAGTGTTTGCCTGATCCCTTGATCTGTAAAACAATTCAGAGTCGAACAACTAGCATATAAGCTAATCATTAATTAATCTTCAGTTAATTAATTGTCTATTAAGCCGACGCATGAACTAAACAAAAAACATCAATGTTATTAATTCCCTCCCTTCTGTTTTTTGTTGTGATTAATGTTTCCAATGTTGTAATTATTGTTGTCTTTGCTCTCATAACTATTTTACTCTTTAGTCATTAATGGTATCATTAATAGTACCAACTTCCGCATGTAAAATGGTTATAAGTTTATGCTAATGAAACAGTATCTATGTGTTATTGTTGTGTTTTTTGAGTTCTCAGAATATACACTGTCTACGATTCCATTGAGAAGTGATTCGTCTACGTGAAAAATAAGCAAAGGACAAAAGTGTTTTATTGTAATCTTTGTTGTAACAGTCTGTCACTTGTGCTTTTTGTTCAACACTAACATCAAATGAAGTGTATATGAAAGCCGCTTTTTTGTGTGTTTTGAGTGTTAGTGTTTTCAATATTTGTTTTGTTAGAGTTTTTCTTTGTTTTTGTTTATTCTCCCACTCACTCTTCCCTTTTTATTGATCCCTACCCTTTCATCTCATCTTATTACCACTTAATCCCTTCTTGTTCTACCTGTTACTCTCCTAATTTATGCCTTTTTAAATTCTTCCTTTTCCCCTTATTTAATGTCGTTTACTCACTGTTGTTCTTTCTGCTGGCCTTTGTTTACAATCTGTTCTCATTATTGATTATTTCTTAGAAAAACGTACGGATAAAAGTGCTGTCTCTGGGGCAATTCGTTTGTTCATCTCCGTGGAAATAAAAGGCGAAGAGAAAGTTGCACCTTATCATGTCCAGTATACATGTCTACATGAAGTGAGCAAAGAAAATTTACGTTAAATTGTGTTTTTTTTTCTAGTGTATTTGTTCATATTTTTTTTCAGCCTAAAATCTTATACTTCCCACCTACAATCGTATACTGGTTTATTTATTAGACCATAGTAAGTGCCTCATAGATCAAAACTACTGTTTATCCACTAAGGACAGAATTAGTTCGAAAGGTCAGCAGACGCAGAGATTGAAACGCTAGAAGTCATAAATGTATGTGCCACTAACTTATAGATATATTCTGTCAAATCACTGGGTACTCAGAGTTCAAATCTCAAGGTGGACATAAGTTTCTTCAAGACAGCAGATACATCCTGCTGATGCGTGTCAACAAGCACGAAACCTAGGTTCGCGACAACCTACTGACTGATTCCAGTCATCTAACAATATGACTGATAGAATTCAGTCTGCACAAAAAACCAAGGACTTTACCCAATGAAATTAGTTACTACCCGTTGTCCAATCAAATCTTGCATAACATATAATTGAGAATTCAAAGTATAACCACATCTACTGTACTGCTGTATTAGTGAAAATAAGTCAACATTCTGAGATGTTTTTACGCCTTGATTTTACTAAACTTTATTTAGTCCTTCAGTGGTCTGTAGTTGATTGTATGGGGGATTTCATCATGAGCTGACATTGGTTAGGGAACCCCTGGAAAACCTGGGAGTACTGGACACCTGTTTCGTCCTAGTTTGGGAATCTTCAGCAGTATGCACCCTCACTGTGGGGTTGGAACCCAGGACCTTATGGTTACAAGTCGATCTCGTAGACCATTGAACCACTGTGTACAGCAGGTTGAAGATGAGGCAGTAACTCATCGAAGAAGACATTGAGAAATAGTCGCACTATGTCGTGAATTGGCAGACGTTAGAATTCAAGGACCATTGGATCGGATCCCAGTGACTCAATGGTCTACGAGCTCGCTAGTCTTGTAACCAGAAGGTCCTGGGTTCGAACCCTGCCTGGCGGGTGCGTACCGATGAAGAGTCTCAAACTAGGACGAAACAAGTGTCGAGTGGTTCCCTAACTGACATCGGTTCATGATGAAATCCTTCATACAATCAAACAAAATCCCTACAAAACCAATATTTTAAAATCTGAAGTTGATGTTTGTTTGTTTTTACTCTGTTTACTCTACTTTGATTCATCATTTATTCTTTATTCTAAGTAAGTTCTACTTCCAGGTGACAATGTGAAATTTCTTCTGCAAAACATCAGTTCACAGAGTCACAGCCTATATTGAATCCACTCGTTTACATTTATTGCATATACCTTTTTTTCTAAAGGAAAGTTACTCTTAAATAAGCATATCATATCAGGTAATCTTTGGTTAACTTTGCATTAAAGCAAAAGTTTATCACGTAACAATATACTGTTGCATGATTGATACAACTATTAAACAGATATTGTGAAAGTAATGCGTTGACTTTCATTCATAGGAAAATTAAACAATTAGATAGATAGAAATCGATATAAGACAAATGCTTCGCTTAGAAGACTTAAACACGAAAGGTGAAATAATGCTATAATGGCTGGTACTTTCCTTTAACTGATTATTAGCATTGTTATTATAACCCACCAGAGTGAACCCACCCACCCCCAGCTGCCTTTATTATAGATTGATTGACGTTATCTAATCTTATTTTTAGAATGTATCCAAGACGTATACATGCTTCAACAGTTGATTATATTCTTGTATTTAGACCTACTACTGATTCCCAAACTAGTTTTGAAGCTTAGTAATAACATCGATTCTCTTCTTCAGCTGTACGTGAATATTAGAAAATATAAAAAAATTTTCTTTATATCTCCGTCCGAGCATATTCTTAAGCATCTCTTTCAATAATCACCCTATACATCATTCTTTTCAATGTAGTATTCCTAGTAATTATGGATCAGTTTCAGTGATTTCTAGGTGCATTTGCTACTAATAACCATTTAAATGTTGTACGTTGATTGTTCGAAAGTCGAAGACTCATTCGCCATGCTAGATGTCCGGGTTCGATTCCCAGTCGATGTACTCCTAAATCTTCCTTTAGCTGATAGTAAGCGCAGGAAAGAGTGAACTTTAGGCATGAGGTTAGCGATACCACCCCGTAAAAACAACACAGTTTCTGCTATAAACTTCAAATGAACTGCCCATTTAACTTTATTGATTTGTAGCAATATCAGAGTAATATCAGTGGCTGAATGGTATACGATCTTGCCTTGTAACAGGAAGGCGCTGGGTTCGAACCTCAGTGGGTGAGTGCCACCGATGATTCCCAGACCAAGATGAAACAGCTTCCCAGTACTCCCTGCTGGTTTTAATGTGTCGGTAGGACAGCGCTTAGGACTCTCGCCGACTATGTATATGGTCCGGGATTCGATCCTCTGCCGATGTCAGCCTGCAAAGTTTGGACTACCGATATCACATGTTGAAAATTCCATACTTGTGTCAAAAATACGGTGTGGAATCAAGCTATAATCAAAGATATTTTTTTAAAAATTTCTCGCCTCCAGTAGTTTCCAACGGTCCCTCAATAATGAGGTTGCTGAAGCGATAAGATTTGTCTATACCAGTTGTTGGTGAACAAAACTTAATCTAAAATTGTGATTTCCCAAAGATGAAACTACCAAGAGTTAAAAAATTCACCAAGCAGAATTTGACTGATGGGATATATATATTCTACACTAGGTAATAAAAAATGTCATGCTTCGAGTTGTGACTATTCTCCCCAATCACCTAACGGCAATCACCACCTGTCATGGTGATCACATTGCAAACTTGGCTGACAGAATTCTATCTGCACCAAACGAAGGACAAGGCGCATGACATTAGTTATTATTCGGCATTCATCACAATCCGAATAGCTCAGTGATAACATCTCTGAATTAAGCACTGGTTTTCCCATATCTGAGTCCCGGAGGGGACATAAGTTCCTACAAGTATGAAGATGCACCTAGCTAATGGGTGTCAGCGAGCATTGAACCTAGGTCTAAGGCTTCCAGCCAATTGCCTTCAACCATCTAATAATATATACATATATATATATGAATAATGTGGCAGTATACACGCAGTTTTACAATCATCCGGATGTCGTACCCAACTCTTTTAGTTGTTTCGTGAAATCCAGACGTGATGCATGCTTCTTCCTATACTGCCAAATCAACATTCTTAAACTAGAAGTAGTGAAGTGTATCGGAATTCATTGAAACTTTTCCAGGCACCATGTTTACTGTTGGAAGCTGCTTAAAATTAGTTCCCTCCCCTTTTAATTTTTTATAAAATTATCAAGTTAGTGATTAAAAATTACCCTATACTCCATATTTGGCGTTAAACATTTGAAAGTTATGACGAAGCAGCTGGGTGTTTGTTTTCCGTTACAAAATTTGAAGGCGAATTCTACCTGAAAACACTAGATTTTGCTATCAATCTAGCAAATCAGTAATACTGCACATTGGTCACTAATAACTTGGCAGAAATTTCAGTTTTTCTAAGCAAATGTATGAGTTTTTACAAGATTACAGGCACAATTTACTAGCAAGTACAAACAAACTCCAATCTTCCAACATCCAAAACCACCATTTAACTATCTCCATGCAGGGAGTTTCCTGTACTTCTAGTGAGAAGTAGTGACCAGAAGGGTCCACCAAGTCAGTTAAAAGGACAAATTACTCACCGATAACATTAGCTGGAGGTAGCGGTACACATATGTCGAGAATTAGCAGACGTTGGAATCCATCAGGTTAATGAACTGAGTCTCAGTGTCTGAGAATGGTCTACTAGTTCACCTTGTAACTCGAAGGTCCTGAGTCCGAACATTGGTGAGGGGTAACTTCTGAAGGGTCCAAGAATGCGATGAAGCAGCTGTCCATTACTCCCTGCTTTCCCGGTGGTTCTCTAGTTGACATCAACTCGTCAGTAAACCTGTAGTCAGTCAAATTTCTGCAATACAACACTGGAAAAATATTTAATTATCACTATAAATTACGATAACATAGTCAGTGGTTATTCTGAATTCAAAAAATAAGCTTTTTTGTTAGTGAGCAGTTCATTAGCTTAAAACACTTATCAATGTTAGATGAGTTACATCAATCAATTTCACACCATCTGTTGGCAGCATTTTTCATAATCCATTGGCGTGATGTATTGATATTACAACAGTAATTCAAAAAAAAACACTCCGTACTCGTGATGTAAGCAGCTATGTCTAACTGAAATATAGTGTACTTCTTCTTCTCCCTCTTCGTCTCCTTTTTTAATTCTTTGTGTTTTGACAAGTATAAAATATTCAATATGCTTTTAACACAGTAATGATGTAAACGGATATATAGTATAAACAGAACTGATCAAAATGAATATTGATAAAAAAAAAACACAATGTTTTTTTTTGTTGTTAAGATTATTTATTTAGACAATGATTAGGTGAGAGTTGGAGACTCTAGAAACACAAATTAAAGCTGATATTCAGATGTGGAAAGAAAAACAGTCGAAAACAGCCTGCTCAAGAGCTGTGTAGGCATTCGTCAGAAGAAACTGGCACCATTGTCTTAGATAGTGAATAGGAATAATTATTTAAAAGTGTAATAGAAGTTTACATACAAGTTTACAAATCTTAATGACGTAAAAACATAACACCTTGTTAATGGGAAAATGTGTTGTGTCTGGGTAACTTTTGTCCTGAAAATTTTGTTCAGAGTGTCATGAGAATATTTTCCGCTGAAAAATGGAAACTCTCCTTGAAGACAAAACTGAAGGGAAATTTATCCCTGCGAAATCTAAGGGTTAAATAAAAACGTGTTTTGTTTTTCAAAAATGACATGGTTTCACGCGTTTCTGTTGTTTACATGACAGAATCATTGAAAAGAGACACTGGCATAATAACCGTCTGAGCGCATAGGACTAATCCAGGCGGAATAGGAATAAAGCATGAACAATAGTTTGTATAGATTAAGTTGTTACTATCAAGCGATCCACAACGGAAAACTCAGCGAGGCGTTTGGAATAAACACAGGAGTCAGACAAGGGTGCTTATTATCGCCCATGATGATATTCCTAATTGTGGTCGACTGACTGGATTATGCGTCAGACAGTGAAAAACGGGAAACGGGACAGGGATATCCTGGACCAACATGAAGAACCTAGAAGACCTAGATTTCGCGCGTGGATGATTTATGCTTGATGTCACACAAAATCGAAGACTTACAAGCAAAAACCGACAAACTGGTCGAAGAAGCAGCCGGAAAAGACAGGACTCCAGGTGAACATAGACAAGACGCAGGTGGTGAAAATAACCAACCAACAACAACAACAGCAACATCCAGCGCCAATCACTATCAACGGAAGGGATTTGAAAGAGGTTACTTCATTCACTTATCTAGCATTGAGCATTGTCTCAACTACAGCCAGTCGGAACGGACGAGGATGTCAAATCGAGCGAGAATCAGGAAGGCGAGAAACATATTCATCAACCTGAAATCAATCTAGAAATCTTCGTCACTCAGCCAGCATCAACAACAAAATCCAGTCGGATTTTCAATAAAAACGTCAAGTCAGTCAATTGTTCTATACGGATCAGAAACTTGGCGGGCGGGTCACAAAGAATATTTGCAACAACCTATTGCAAACCTGCATCCTACATCAACAACTGTCTTCGCTGGATCTATACTGAAGATCAGATATCCGGACCGGGCCGGAAAGAATCACCAACAAGAAACAATGGCTGGGAACAAACAAACAAAACAAGAACCAATCGCCAACCAACAAATATGCAGGAGAAAGTGGAGATGGATGGCTTGGACACTCGCTCGCTGAGGAGGCCGCCGCTGGGTGAGATCGCGCGTGCGTCAGGCCATTGCTCGAGTGGAACCAGGCCGAAATGGAAGCGGCGAGTGGGTCGTCGGTACGAGGGTGACATGGAGGAGATCGTGTGAAGAGAGAGGAGTTGAAACAGTATGGACTAACATGGATGGAGGTGAAAAGTAGAGCAGAAGGAAGTGGAGATGTGCAGTTGAAGCCCTATGTTCCACTAGGAACCCAAGGGAACAATAATACTAATAATGAAAATTCCGTCGACTTCTCTTCAGCTGCACAGGGTCTAAAGAAAATGTTTAGTTTATGTACAGAACAGTTTTGACATACTTGCAAGTATTATGTAATGTCAGTTTAATGACAGAAGACTCCAGACTAAATAAACAATGCTAAGAAATTACACTTATGTATTTTATACCCAGAAAGTGCAAGTCTAAACAAAAATAATTGCTTGGATACAATGTTGAAAGAGTTACGTATGACACATCTATCAGACGTCGTACTACGCATGAATAAATATGTGTCCTTATTTACCTCACATACTGTTGCTACTGGGGTTAAATTGCAACCGCGAATGATTAAACCATACTTCTGTGAAACTTTATACTACTGGGTGATTGAAGTGAGTATTTGTATACCACTCACATCAATCAATTGTGCTCGCCAGCAACACCAAAGTGATCTAACCACCGGACAGATGTTTCGCTCCTTTTTGGGATCGAGTTCATTAACGGTATCTGTCCAGTTTTAGTTAGCTCAAACCATCCGATTCCCGGCCAGCTGCTTGGGTCAACTGACGACGCCTAAAATCCAAATCTTCTAAGTTGAATCGAACTGAGTACACCCGCCGTATGAGCTGTATGAGCTCGACCGTAAGCCAACAAGACGGCAGTCCGGTGTTTAGATCACTGCGATCTCACTTGCAAGCACTGCTGGTGGGTGTGAATAGTATACATCTATTCATCTGAATCAGTCAGAAGTATATGCTTTTATGCATTTATGCCTGCTTTCTTGATTACTAGATATATATATATAACAGTTTGAGAAAAGTTGGGCCTTGGGTATATGATATTCATTATAATAAAGGTTTTCTTGTATTTCCCAATAAATGACATCAGAGTTTTTTTCAAAACGTCAAACACACTACGCAGCAACCTTATCCCTCTAAAAGACCAAATCCCTAAATATTCTCTATCTAATTGTGTCTATAAAATAAAATGCCTGGGGTGTGGTGCGATATACATCGGACAAACATCACCAGAGATAAATCAAAATCAGAAGAAATGAACACCGTAGAACATCTATGTTCAACCACCGAGAAATACATCCAGTTGAACTAGAAATGTTTGAAAAGTCATCAGCCATAGTTGGTCTACACACTATAGAATCAGGCCACAAAATTGATTTTGACAATAATGAAATCCTCATCCAGAAAAAGCATTTCAGAAATAACAATGAACGTCTAATATCACCAGAAGCCCTACATATCAAATGAGAACCAAACTGTCTGAATAAGAATGATGGACTAAAAAAGAATTTGGCCTGGTTAAAACACCCCCTACCGTCTCGCATGAAATGACAGAATCAACACGAATGTGACAAGCAATTTCATTATGTATACACACGCTGTTTTTATAATTTTATACGCTTATCAAATCCAACCATAATCTACACCTGGTTTCGTTATCTTTACCAATTGGCGAACTTGATAAACACGTTAAAATGACCCCATGCTGAGAAACGATGATTAAGTTGTTATAAATAAGCTGAGATTTTGTAAATTCTGGTTTAATATTGCTACTTTGATAAAGCTATTAAATAGCAGCTTTAAATAGCGAAACGTCAGTAAAAACAATAATATCGTTTTGTTTTTCATTCATTGGAAAATACAAGAAAACCTTTATTATAATGAATAATTGATTATTCGAAAGGAAACTTCAAGGTGGTGAAATTTTCACCTCTTGGAATTGTTTAAATTCCAAATTGCTATTAATATATGTGTATAACTTGGGAACTGTGGTAGTAAGTAATTCCATATTAGTTTGTTTATTAGATGTATCACACAGTCGTTGAAACAGTATTATTTACTGGATGACAGTGTTTCGAACACAATTTATTACTGTTCATAATCATATCAATTGTAATCACACGACTTCGAGACTTGAGTTTTATAGTTCTCTTTGTTCTCTCCTATTGGTCGTCATTGGGGAAGTAGAATTTTCCAGATGTCCAACTGGACAGGTGTTGAATCATTCCTATTACATGTATTTGCAGCTGATTCGATAAACAAAGCTTCTGTTCTCAATTTCTCTTCCCACCCAGCAGTTACATTAGATTTTAAAACTGTCAACTTATCCCATCCATCCTATAGTATGGTTGTGTGTAACTGCATGTAGTCAGTGGCATAGCTGAACTATTCTCTAGGTTTCTTATCTTATTCGGGTCAACTAATCTAGATTTCGCTGCTAGGTTTTTATATTTGGCTAGTCTGACTGCCCCTGTTCTACTGCTTTGACCTATGTATTTGACCTGACAATCATTGCAGGCAGGGTATTCGATAAACTAAATTGTTTTGCTTTAAAGGCTCCACACGACTGATCCTTTAACCGACAAAGCTTGTTTCTAATTGAGTTTGTGGTTGGTTTGAATGCCAGTCACTTTTATTCCTGCATTGTTAAGAATTCTGCGTAAGTTTTCCGCGGTTCCTTCCTTGTATGGAATTACTGTTGATGATTTAGATTCCTTATTGTTGGTGTCGTCATTAATATTATTATCACTATTATTGTTAGTGTTATTATTATTACTATCACTATCGCTACTGCCATTATTTATTTTATTTTTAGATTTCCTTACATATTTCCTGACTAATTTATCCGGATAATTATTAAGTTTCAAGGCTTCTTTTATGTGTATCACTTCCTGTCTTAGATTTTCCTTCGTACTACTTAGTTTTTGTGCCCTGTTACCTAAACATTTCACCAGTCCTATTTTTACTGACATAGGATGGGATGATCTGAAGTCCAAGTATCTGTTTGAATGTGTGTGTTTTCTGTAAACACTAGTGTTTAACTTCCCATCTTCTTTACTAACATTGACAAATAGGAGGGGACAAAGAGAACTATAAAACTCAAGTTTCAAAGTCGTGTGATTATAATTGGCGATATGATTATGAACAATAAATTGTGTTCGAAACTGTGTCATCCAGTAAATACTAATACTGTTACACTGTGTGAGACATCTAATATACACAGTAATATGGAATTCCAAATTGCTAATCTGAATTAAACAGCACCGTTTTCACTGTATAGTGAATTAACGCAGTATATACAACACATAGAACATCATCCCCATTAAGATTTATATAAATGTGGTTGGTTATTTCCAGACAGACAGACAGTGTGATATTTTTAATTTTAGAAGAAAAAATATTTATTTGTCTACTTTATCACAGATAGTTGCCAGAGTCAAGATGATGATGATGAAGAAGAAGTGGACTTTTTCACATCTATTTTTTTTAAAAAAAAATATGATTTCCTTTCTGTTAAGCACCGAAAAGCTTCTGAATGTATCGGGAGAGGCAAAAAAACAAAAGAGGAATAGACTACATTAGCTCTTACATAATCTATTGGTTACTTTTGAAACTGTGATCAGTAGTAATTGTAACAGTAATTTCCTCCCAACCACACACACACACTCTCTCTCTCATTCTGTCTCTTATTCTTTATCTTTTTGTCTCTTCACAATATAGAATATATTTCATTATTTATGTGAAACAAATAAAAGTGAAGGTAGACCGGAAGTGAAATTGCCTGAAGCTTCTGGAGTAAGTGAAATCATGTATATGCTATTTCCTTTTCATCTTTTTATCAGTATATATATATGTATATTAATTTTCAAGTATTGGTTTTGTAGGGATTTTGTTTGATTGTATGGAGGATTTCACCATGAGCTGACATCAGTTAGAGAACCACTGGAAAACCTTCAGAGAGTACTGGACAGCTGTTTCACCGTAGTTTGGGACTCTTCAGCAATACCTGAAAATTAATCTGATGCTCACTAGCGACTGGCCCTATTCAGGCAGTTAACCTGGAGTTCTAGTGGGAAAACGGTGACCAGTAGGGTACAGCAGGTCGAAGATGAGGCAGTAACTCATCGAAGAAGAAGACATTGCGAAGTGGTCGCGTTATGTCGTAAACTGGTAGAAGTTAGAATTCAAGCACCACTGGATCGGATCCCAGTGGCTCAATGGTCTACGAACGTAAGCTAGCCTTGTAACCAGAAGGTCCGTGGGTTCGAACCTTGGCGGTGGGTGTATACTGTGAAGAGGCCCAAACTAGGATGAAACAGCTGTCTAGTACTCCTTGTACGTTTTCCAGTGGTTCTCTAACTGATGTCAGTTCATGTTGAAATCCTCCATATACACATTAATTCTTTGCATCTCTATGTTATTAAATTAATTTGTCTCAGTCCACTCTTTATCTAGTTTTCCTCATTAATCTTAGTTTTTCATTTGAAACTGGTTAGTAGTCTGACTGTTACACAATACACCGTGCTTATACACTGGTAATACTGTGCATGTATGAATCAGCCAGTCAATAATTAACATTATGTTGATAAACCCTAATAATTGAGTGTTTTTCCACAGTCTGCAAGGTGTCGTTCTACTTGAAGTAACCTAAATTTTAAGTAAATCACATTTCAGTAAATGAAATATGCCCATATTGAAATCAAAACAAGATTTTGAGCGAACAGTTGTGGTTTAGATAACTTCTTCTTCAGGTTCTACAGTTATAAATCCACGAATACATTCAGCCAATATGGGCAAATGAAAATGGTATCAGAAACTGTATTTGGGTGCATGTGTAAGTTGAGATGATAGTCCATTAGTTAACATAGTCAATCAAATTTGTATAAGATGTATAGTCAGAAAAAATGTGATGAAGTGTGAATGAACAATTGGGTGATATAGTGCTATAGTGATTAATAAAGAGAGACCAGACTTATGTGTACAGAAGAAAAGTATTCACTCTCTCTTTCTACCCTGGCCCACTATGAGGTCACCAGGATCATAATTTTTCGTATTATTATTATTATCATTTTGTGATATCATGTCTTTACTATCCATTTCTCCACCTAGTTTATTTTACCCCATCGTTACCCTTAATTTTTGTCAATCTTTGTGATTTTATACTAAGCCTACCAATTCTGTAACGTCTTTTTACAATTAACAATTTAGCCTCTTTATTTTAACATTAGACATTGTCAGTCAGCCCTCATATTCAGTGTCCCCTTTGTTAATGTGTTTGTATGTATTTTGTGGTTATCGCATTTCTCTCACCCCAATGACACTTGTATTCTGTTGACTATAAAACAACACTATATCACCCAATTGTTCATTCACACTTCATCACATTTTTCTGACTATATACACTATACGACCATGCACATGGTCCGGGGTTCGATTCCCGGCCATCGACGCACTCTTTTTCCTCGCTAAGCCAGAAATAATGTTGGTAAAGCCACTAGCTTGAAGCCCTATGTTCCATTGGAGAACGTGAAGGGAAAAAGTGTTAATTAATGGACTATCATCTCAACTTACACATGCACCCCAATACAGTTTCTGATATTATTTTCATTTGCCTTTATTGGCTGTGTGTATTCGTGAATTTATAACTGTAGAGCCTGAAGAAGAAGTTATCTAAACCACAACTGTTCCCTCAAAATCTTGTTTTAAATCACATTTTTTTGAATTATAAAACTTATGAAACTTAGTTTATGCACTGATAAATTATTTAGAAAGTGAGAGAACCAAATGCCTTGAGGTGTGAATCTTTAAAGTTATTGTAACTACCAAAATCGATCCGTTGTGGTCTGAATGCAGGAAACGGATCTTTGCATCCTACTGTATGGCTGACCAAAACTTCCTTGAGTCACTCACACACAGTCACAAAACACTCCAAAGACAGTTATCTGGTTGTATTCAACAGTGTCATTAGGCAGCTATACAGACAAGTATTGTAAAACAGAATTTGTTAACCGAAATTCAACTGTAAGAATTACTTTGGAATCAAGTGGAATATTCCCAGTAGGCTGGGATCAAAACTATTTACAAGAATCTCACACCAATAATTCCCACAGACAGTTCAAAGTCAGAATGACCTCGATTCACATCGATTACATCCTAAAAATAACGGAATATCAATGTCATCATACAACCAACCAGAAAGAGGTGCATTAAAATTAGGGATTAAACAATGACAATGATAAATTACAAGGATCAAGTCAACATATGATATGCAAATTTCACAACAATGATAAACAGTCTAGGAGAAATATCGAAATTAGTATCAACATTGTAATTAGATCGTCCATGATGGATTTTCCAAACAATTATTCCGCCACAGTTACAAATATTTTTTATTGGATTTCATCATGAGCTGACATCAGTTAGAGAACCATTGGAAAACCTGCAGGGAGTACTGGACAGATGTTTCGTCCTAGTTTGGGACTTTTCATCAGTACACACCCGCTGGAATTCGAATCCAGGACTTTCTGGTTACAAAGCGAGCCAGTTCGTAGACCACTGAAGCCACTGGGACCCGATCCAATGGCCAACTCATGAATTCTAACTTCTGCCAGTTCACTACATAGCGCGACGTCTAGCCAATGTCTTCGGCGAGTATTTTTCCTCACACCTGGCCTGCCGCACCCTACTGGTCACGACTTCTCACTAGAACCCCAGGTAACTACCTACCTGAATAGGGCAAGTCTAACTAATGTCAGCTCATGATGAAATTCTGTAACCAATCAAATCCCTACAAACCAACACTTAAATATTTTTTAGCAATTAGCTATCACAAGTGTAACGAGGTTCGCTACTTACTGTCTCCGTATGCATCATATTAAATAAATTTATATTAAGCACGAAATCCTATCACTATCGCTGTGCTTATTATTTCTAAAAGGTGTGACTCATAGATAACTTTTTGATATGAAAGACTGGAGTAGTCGGTGAATGAGGCCCGAATGGAGCAGCTACAATTTACCCTTGTAGTCCATTTTGGAGGTTAGCTAGAAAGATGCAACAAAACTTTTTGAAATTCACGGCCGGAAACAACCTAACTGGTAAATGCCTACACACGTTTAAGCATTAAACTCACTTCTTCATGAATATATTGGATTGAAGTGAACAAATATTTATTGGCTCATGGTTTCTATTGAACCCTCAGATGATTTCATTTGTGAGAAAGAGATGCTCCCACTGGGGTCATAGGTACATGCTGCTAAAAAATCCGAAGGCTAGGATGAAACAACTGTCCAGTACTTCCTGGTTTTCAATGGTTCTCCAAATCGAGTCAGTTTGTGATCAAACTAGTGAAAAAAATACTCTGATATTCTCACTCTGTCCTCTGTCAACTTTAATTTGTCTGCTTTACTAAGTGAACTATAGAGTTTTCATTTCTTCGAAATATCAATACAAATGTCAGTAGTTATAATAAACTTTATTAGCGAAATTCCCTCGCTTTGGTTTAAATTTTAGGACGATGCTTGGAAGGTGTATTTTGATGCACCTGCACAGGATATTGTTAATGAATTCGCTATACGTTATGGTATTGAATCAATTTACCAAGCTATGACGTAAGTTAATCTAACAGTCAGTTGTATTACAAAGTATTCTGCTGGTAGCGACCTGCTTAATAAATTTGGGCTACTGAAAAATCCCATCAATATTTCACACATGTATTTTCTCCGGTTCTGTTTGTTTGAATCTGATAAAACATGACCTTGAACCACGTTTTATACTCTGGCGAGCATTTGATGTGTTTACAGCATACTGATTCGCAAGTTTCTAATTATCATGGGAAAAAACATAATCTTGGGTTTGGGTGCATTACATGGCAAGAGATGGCTGTTCATGGCTTGTGTTCTCGGTTCACAGAATGGATTTCTGAACCTTTTTTTAAATTGCCATTCAATCAAATTACATGCATTTTCTGAAGAAGACAAAGGGGAGACACCATAATTTCTTGGTTATCTCTTCATGTCAGGTAGAAGTGTTTCATATTGGTCCACTGTCACGTGATATTTTACTTGGAGATCCTGGATCATTCAAAGCTATGCTCTTTTATCTGAAGCACACTCTAATAACCTGCTATGCTTCTATCTCTATTTCCTATCAAAAATCCTATAGCGGTTGGTTCAAACTTATTTCAAAGCAGCCGCGATTACAGATTACGATTCGAAGATATAACTGGATAATTAAAACAACTAAAAAATACAGGAAATGAGATATAATTCAATGGATAGAAAATAAGGTAACCCAGCTATTACACCAGGTTACCAGGTATTATTCCTCGGCCCAATGACATGGTCAAGTTCCATTTTGATTTCTACGGATTCATTTATATCGTTAAAAAGTGAAATGCCTTATCAGTTTTGTCGCTCAATACAAACTAGATTAGTTGACCAGAATAAGATAAGAAACCTAGAGAATAGTTCAGCTATAGCCCTACATGCAGTTACACACAACCATACAATAGGATGGATGGGATAAGTTGACAGTTTTAAAATCTAATGTCGCAAGGTATAAGGAGTTATTGATAACAGAAGCTTTGTTTATCGAATCAGCTGCAAATACATGTAATAGAAATGATTCAACACCTGTCCAGTTGGACATCTGGAAAATTCTACTTCCCCAACGACGACCAATAGGAGAGAACAAAGAGAACTATAAAACCCAATTTTCAAAGTCGTGTGATTACAATTGATATGATTATGAACAGTAATAAATTGTGTTCGAAACTGTGTCATCCAGTAAATAATACGGTTTCAACGACTGTGTGATACATCTAATAAACAAACTAATATGGAATTACTTACTACCACAGTTCTCAAGTTTTACACATATATTAAGAATTTAATCTGATTTAATAGGAAGGTGAAGTGGTAAGCAGTTGATTTTAATCGCGATTCAAATGATCACACCTTGCAAAATATTTCTGCATCAAATAAAGGTAGGCTAAGGAGCTGACGTTTTCTAGCATTGACATGAACTATAAAATTTCACTATAGTATAACATAAAAGCCTTTGCTTTAAAACTAAGGGAAATATAACATTAGCTACGGCTTGCTCCGCTTTTACTCATTCTACATGTTCAAAAGGTGCGTCGGTGGCACAGCGGTTAGGACGCTCGCTCACCATGCACGTGGTCCGGGGTTCGATTCCCGACCGATGCACTCCTTTACCTTGTCAAGTCAGAAATAATGCTAATAAAGACGAAAGGTTGGGCATGGGGCTAGCAACCTTATCCTGCAAAAATTAAACACTGCTACATAAACTTCAAGTCACTAGCTTGAAGCCCTTTGTTCTACTGGGAACGTGAAAGAAAAAATAACATCCTCAAAAATACAATTACTGTTTATCACGAATGAAAGCATGCCAAAATGCATACAACTTTCTTTAATATTCTTTTTCCAACTTTTTCTTTTTCTTATCCAGACATTTCTCATGCCTTACAACAAAGTATATGTGTACCGGTGTACCAGCTACTATGTCTAATCTACTAGCTAATATCAATGCATTCTACGCGCATACATCAGCCTCGAGTAATCAAACAGCCTCAGAACGTTTCAGTGCTAGTAATTTTGGTGTAAGTTATCAGTTAGACTTAACAATACACAATGTAATATTATTTTTTTTCAATTGATTTTGAAGCTTTTGTTTTGATTTGTCCTTGTATTACCATGGATAATTCTGCCATACTATTACAAGAGTTCTTAGAGCGACAAAACTGAAAATGACAAGAATTATATTTTGTCTATAATTAGGTTACCTAATTAAATGACTTGATTTATAGTGAATACTCTAAGAATCAGCTAAAAATCAGAAAAATAATCTTCAGCCTGTGTGTTGGGCATTAAATTAGTCCAGTGCTCACTAATGACTCAATACAGGATGAAGTTGATTGAATTTCTGGTGGAAAGTCGCTACCAGCGGGTTCACCAAGTTGGGCGTGAAGACAGATACTCACCGATGACATTGGCCAGTGGTCACACAGTATATTAAGAATTAAGAACACAATATTCAGCGAAGAGACTCTTTTCAACGAATTTATTGTCAAGCTGTACAATCGTATATATATGGTTTTCTAAAGAAATTATATCCGGTGAGGGAATTAGGTCAAAGGTGTAAATACATGAAATAATAATAATAATAATAGTAGTAGTGTGAAATCCAATTAAAATATTTATGATTATAATCATGGTTTAATGTCAAGTGGCTAAATAATTAATGTCATAATACATAAGGTGTATAGATTTTGGAAAGGAGGTACATAATTATAAGATTAGTATACGAATACAAAATGTTACATAACATGGTGTGAAATTTGATAAGATAGAATTCAATATTGTAAAAATAAAAAATATGAAAATTAATAATTTTGGGCTTAAAATGACAAGTGGGTCAAGTGGAAAAGATTCAGAGTGAGAATAATAATAATCGTAGTAATAAGGGAAAAGTACGTAGAATTCTATCTTATCAAATTTCACACCATGTTATGTAACATTTTATATTCGTATACTAATCTTATAATTATGTACCTCCTTTCCAAAATCTATACACCTTATGTATTATGACATTAATTATTTAGCCACTTGACATTAAACCATGATTATAATCACAAATATTTTAAATGAATTTCATACTACTACTACTATTATTTCATGTATTCACACCTTTGACCTAATTCCCTCACCGGATGTGTTTATATACGATTGTACAGCTTGATAACAAATTCGTTGAAAAGAGTCTCTTCTCTGAGTATTGTCTTTTTAATGCTACAATGGGAATTATTAAATATTAAGAATTGGAGGAAAGTTAAAATTCATTCACCATTGGAAATCACCCCAGAGGTTCAATGGTCAACCGCCTCACCATGAAGTCTGAAGGTCCTGGATCCCATTTCTAATGCATTGATGATCAGTCCGGAACGAGAGGGAGATAGTTGTCTAGTACTCCCTGATTTTTAATGATTCTCTTGCTGAAGTCAGTTCGCGGTCGAACTTGAGAAAAGTAAATTAAAAACGTATAAGTCACCAAAAAATGTTCTTTTCAGCAATTTCATTTCTATACCCAATGTTATTTGACAACTTAAGTCAAAGGATGTTGTCAGTAACAAATTAAGTGAGTGCATGGAAAATAATGATGTTTGAAAAATAGTGAGTAATCCTACGTAATCAAGGGGTTTGACAACTAACCAGTTAAATAATGAATACTCATTTGGGACTAATTGATATGGTACAAGAGAAAAAGGGTTCAAAACAGGTTATGGAGATAAAAAATTTATTCTACAATAATTCTGGCAAATAAATATTGTCAAGTATTGGTTTTGTAGGGATTTTGTTTGATTGCATGGAGGATTTAGTCATGAGCTGACATCAGTTAGAGAACCACTGGAAAACGTACAAGGAGTACTAGACAGCTGTTTCATCCTAGTTTGGGCCTCTTCACAGTATACACCCACCGCCAAGGTTCGAACCCACGGACCTTCTGGTTACAAGGCTAGCTTACGTTCGTAGACCATTGAGCCACTGGGATCCGATCCAGTGGTGCTTGAATTCCAACTTCTGCCAATTCACGACATAGCGCGACCACTTCGCAATGTCTTCTTCTTCGATGAGTTACTGCCTCATCATCAACCTGGTGTACCCTACTGGTCACGGCTTCCCACTAGAACCCCAGGTTAACTGCCTGAATAGGGCCAGTCACTAGTGAGCACCAGATTAATTTTCAACCCAGAAGGTCCTGGGTTCGAATCCCGGTGAGTGCGTACTGCTGAAGAGTCCCAGACTAGGACGAAACAGCTGTCCAATACTCCCTGCAGGTTTTCCAATGGTTCTCTAACTGATGTAAGCTCATGATTAAATCCTCCATGCAATCAAATAAATATTGATACTGGCGCTGTGGTAGTAAAAAAAGGCTGGATAAAACATTTCTAAACACAAAGTTCAGTTTTCTTACTTATGAACTGCCAAAGTCTAGACTGTTGCTTTCGCCCACACCTTAAGACACTTACATCATACTCTATTTAACTGTTAACGCGATTGAGACAAAACTTTGATATTAGGTTACACTCACTTGTATACTTCTATTCTTATCCTATGAAAAGAAAAAAACAAACCTTCTTTTATTATTTCATACACCAGTGTTTCATATCATTAGGCGTGGCCTTATTGGTATGTTTTCAACACATAATGTCAAAAAAAAGCCTTTCTCACCACCAAGGAGATTTTTGGAGGCTATTGGGTATTTGGAGAATCTTTCTTTGAATGGTGCAGGAAGTACTACCTTTCTATTTTTTTTGTTTTTCAAACCTCTTATAGTAGTAGTATAGTACTTCTTAAAAAAGGTGCTACACTGAGTATTTTCATCTTCAACATTTAAAAAAAGATTGTTTAATTATGCTAAGGATTGGTACTTTCTTTCTTGAGTCCGATAAATCCACTTTTTTCTGCTTCTAAGTGGAAATCATTTGATATACTACTGACTCTATACTTTTCAAATGTTTATTACTGTAAAATATTACAGAGTGTAGACTTTTAGCCTTCGAAATTCAATTCATACTTGATCATGGATCGATGTTAGTTAAAGAACCACTGAAAATCAAGAAGTGCTCACCCAAGTGGCTGAATGACCGAGGAGCTTGGTCTTATAACTAGAAAGTCTTGGGTTCGATCCCTGCTAAGATCATGCGTGTGTACTGATGAAGAGTCCGAAACTTGGACGAAGCAGTTGTCCATCAATTCCTAGTTTTGCAGTGATTCTTAAATTGATATCAGCCAGTAATCAAACTTGAAACAGATCAAATCTCTCTATTAACTCACTCACTTGTAGAATTTAAGCTATTCTCGTCAATTAACTAGTCTGATTTATAGGACATAGAATGTCTAATAATGTAGCACAATATCAATTAATTTTATTGTTTTCTCTTTGTTCATGACTTGTTCTCCCTATGCCATTTGGTTTTTTTTGTGTGTTTCGAGTTTCTGGACATACGGAAATTAATTCACTGACTCTTTGATTACTGCCCAACAACAACATCAACAGCACACTGGTTATTGTTGTCATCCTCCTTTATCATACAGTAAAATTATCCATCATTTCTAGGCTTATATTTCTCATTGAATCAAAAAGAATAAAACACAATGGTTTCACAGTATATTTATTGTAGCAATCTTTTTGTTTTACCTGTAGTTTTTCTTCCCTATTCACCGAGATAGACCAGCTTCAAAATAGTCTCAATGTGATTAACTTCATGTGTGTGTTTTTTAAACCATTTAACATGAACTTGATTTAGACATCTGTAAATAGTGACATCGTGTAAAAATTTAATAATAAATAAATACAAATGACTAGCAGAAGAGAATTAGGAGACAATTTAAAGTCAAGATCTAGAACTGTAACTTACAGACTGTGTACAGATTCTTATACTAAATAATAAAAACTTTCTACTCTGAACGTCTGTGTCTATCCTTCAGTAGCCATCCAATGTTCACCCAGCAACTCAAAGATGTCTTACCTAACGCTAGCTCTTCTCCATGCATATACCATTTCAGCTGTTCCTGTGGTTCGAGTTATATAGGGTGAACTATTAGGCAGGTTCGTCTACGGGTTCGAGAACATTTACCAGCTTGGTTCAGCAGGCGGCGGGGGATGGAATTAAGTGCATAAAAAGCTCGATCCTGTCACACTTGGTCGATACTGGACATCACATCGATGTCGACACAGCTTTCAGGGTTATATACCGAATTCCGAAGTCGTTATCGCGTAAAGCTGGCTTACGTCTCCTACACACAGAGCTGAAGCTGTTGCAATAAGATCGACTAAACCGGAACCTTGTATCCAAAAAGAACACGTCCAGACGCTGTTCCTACCGTGGCCACACTTGGAATGATGATTCTTTTTCTCACCAAGAGTACTCCTTCCCCTTAACCCTCTTGGTTTTTTTTCCTTCGCTTATTATTACAAATATTATTATTACAATTATTACTATTAATTATTCGTCATAATTTATGCCCTTCATGCAAAAATTCCCTCAACACTATCGAATTTTCATTTATACGGACTTATTATTAGTGATATTATCTGTTTTCTCAATATATGCCTCCACCTGTTTCATTTAACATATTCGTTATCTCATTATGAACCTCTTATTGCAGTCTTACTATCTCCTGTTTAAGACAGACCACTTTGTACTAGCCACTCAACTGACACCTTTTATAACCTTGAACTGACTTGTCAATTTTCCTACCCCACACTCTACAAATCTATTATGATTAATCACCACCATTGTTTCCCGCTTTACATTATTTTGGTAATCGATTTCAGCCTAACACGTTTGTCACACGAATATCACTATTTATTTTGACATCCCATAACCACTAATCTGTTATTCTACGTTAAAAATGTATCCGCCGCATAACTGGCTATCATTATTGTAACGCCAACAAATATATTATATTTTATAATTGTAAGAACCTGAAGAGGAGAAATTATTGAAAAGAATATTTTTCGTTTAGACTGACTTAAATAATGAATAAACTGAAATCATTGTATGCAGGATAGCTTCACTGCTTGATTAGTTAGCTA